AGTAAATTTCAACTCTGCATAAAAACATTTGTCGGCAAATTGGTAAAGAGTTACAGGGTAAATGCAATAATACAAATAGAACTACCAAAAGCAGTATTCAGCTTTGATAAGCACATACATTCCTGACGAAGCTTTGGGGTTGTCAACATCCGAAGCATCAAGAAGCTTGAGGGCATTCCACACCTATTTCCATAAACCATTAAGTCAGGCTTCTTGAAAGAAGCACCAAACCAGACTGAAAATTTAAGACACATATTAGTTGTACTATTAGTAGCAACAGAACAGTTACAGTAGTGAATGCTAAATACCTCTCTGTAGGATAAAGATTGGTGCCTGGCTATGATGGAATTCAGTTTTTTCTTGAGTGATTTACCCTCTAAATGATCCGCATTGGCATAGTAATAGTTAACATCTTCACAAGCATACACAAAAGAAGGAGATGGATAGTCAATTGCCTCAGCATCAGCGACAAGAGTCAGACAGAACAAATAAAAAGAGATGACCTGAGAAACCCATCTCCATGAAACATTGATACATTCTGTGCAATTCCTTATGCCCCTAGAAAGAATGCATTAATCAGCCATTGCCCACGACCATTTTCACTTCGAGGGTCAACAAGTACTGGTAATTGAACTGGAATATTAGCAGCCCAGTATTGAAATATGGAAAAAGGTGAGGTCTTGAAGGTTACTGACCTTGGAAAAATGGTGGAAGACCATAGAGAGACCAAATGGTTCTCTGGGTTTCGGTTATGCCAAGCTAAGTTGAATCTTTGTATTCGTAAAGTAGAGGAACGTGTGAATTTGAAATGGAAGATGGTGGTTCTCTTCTTGCAGTGGCCAGTGCTGTAAATTGCAGATTTTGTGCAATGGAATTTGGTGGCCACGACGGGAGACTGCATTCTCCGAGTGTAGAGATACCCCAACTTCTGGTTTGAAGTTAAGCCAACTGGCAGATTTTCCTTTTTTGCACCTTTTCAAATTATTTTTTCTTTTGAGATAAAATCATTTCTTTTTCTTTTTTCTTTTTAGAGTGAAGGCCCTTGCAAACTAGTACAATTTCTAAACCATGTATAAGATTTCTCAATTTTTATTGAACACTTATTCCTCTCAGAGCGTTTGGTTTGTGGGAAATAGAGCTTTGAAATGAAAATTATTTTCTCATGTTTAATAAGTTTGTTCGGTGAGAAATGGAGCTTTGGAACGAGAATTGATTTCCCATATTTGATAAGTATAGCAGTTCTTGTTGACACTTGTTTGAATGACCTCTCCTTTTGCAATATGTTCCATGTAGAACATAACAAACATGTCACAATTCAACTTGCAAATAAAAATGTGATTAGGTTTTGAATTATTGGGAATTTAATTGAATAGGTGAGTACAAACAATACTTACGAATCTTCTATTTGTTGGGCGCAATCTGTGACGTCTTCAAATAGATACTGACAACCGATGTGCAGTATCCAAGAGAGAGAGTTCTTCATTTGGAGATATGTGTCTTTTTGTTGCAGTGTCAAGAATTTGTTTTGCCTGACAAGTTCTGGTTTTTTCCCGCTTTCGAGCAAAGCTTGTGCTTTTGTTTACGAGGCGCACTTGTGGCTCTAAAATACCGGGAATGCTACAATGAGGGCTTAAAGTGAGGAGGTTATTTGAGGAGGTCAAATCTCACCATCAACAAATGTAAAGAAATCATGGGACTTAAATATTTTAAATATTTTGACGGTCGGATCGGTCTTCTCAAATAACCTCCTCACTTTAACTCCTCATTGTAGAAGCTCCCCTAAAATACAATGCAAGTAAGCTAAGCTTTTGTTTCACATGGGGCTCAATGGGTTTCAGGACTTTAACCAGCTCCATACATTTGTGGACTTGGTTGCTATGCTTTGGCTTGGCTTGGGCTTTAGAGTCCATTCTGGTTCCTTTGAGGATGGATTTTTTAGGTGGGTTTCACGTTGCTTTAAACCAGCTCCATACATATGTGGACTTTGTTCCAATTAGAGCCCAATTTGCTTCCTATACTTTACATCCCTAAGGTAGTTGAACATTGAGCTTGCCATAACTAGCATTTACAAAGTGATATACTGACAAGGGTTGTCCACTCAACAAACATGAGAAGTTGACTATTGTGTCTAACCTAATGAAAAAGGCTGACTTGCATATCAGTGGTCTCATGCTCAATTTCACATGACATCTTAATAGTGTGTGTGTTAGAGAGACAGAAAACCATTTTCGTTTCTAACTTCGACCACACAAAAAGGCAAACATGGAAGTTTAGAATAATTGGATATCTTAATCCAAATTCTAAAAGAATAATAACATATGAGTATTCCAATATACAATGCTAGAACAAAACAAAGCACAAGCAGCCAAAAGAATAGAAGAAACCCAAGTCAAGCTAATTGCCTAATAAAAGAAAACTATACATACTCATTGGATTTCTTCACCTAATAGCTTTAAAGATTCAAAGGAGATCTTCAGTATCTTCCAAGTTCTTTTTGGTGAAAAGGGGCAGATCCCAACCCAAAAAAAAACCAAGAACTAGTCATTAAGGCTTACACACAAACAGCAAGGGAGCCATCAAATCAAAATCATCCAAACTTGCCATTGATTTCAGCTTGTTGGAATTTTTCCCTAAACAAGAAAGTTTTCATTTTTCCTTGCATTATATGATCATTCATGTCATAGTATAGGACAATTTGCTATGACCAAAACTGATATCGCATCTTTGAAAGTGAATATAAAGAATGGGCCAGCCTAGGTTCATTCAGAATCGGTGGACCAAAATTCATGGTGCAATCATTTAGCATAAGATTTGAACCTTTGTGGATGGTAAAAATTGAAGTCATGATTTCCATCACTTTTAGAACCAGAAAGGTTTGAAAAACCTCTGTGGATGGTAATCATTCATGCCATTGCCACCCGTGTGAGCAGTACTATGAGCATATGCTCTGCATGATAAAGAGTTCGTTTTTTTTTTCCCCCATTTAAATGAATAATAAATAATGCTCCCTTGCTGCCGCATTGTTTTCCTATTAGATGTTGAGTTATATAATTTGATGAGGAAATATTGGATTCATATTCATTAGATGAAACGTTAATGCAAGTAAAATATTGGAGGAAACTAACAATGTCAACTAATATAAAATTATTCAACCAAGAAAACAACGCTTGCCATTTTGAAACTGAGGAAGTTCAGTGAAGCAGACCCTCTTCCGACCAAGGATGTGGATTCACATTCTCGTATTGTTGGCAATATTCAAAGGCTTTAACATTCCTTTCAAGCCATCTCCTTCAAGCACGTCTTTCGGGAAGCAAATTTTGTGGAAGACTCTCTTGTGAAGCTGGGGCATTCTACCCCAGCTCGCCATATTTGGTTACGGAAATTTCCTTCCGTGGTGGCTAGGGCAATTTCTTGCGAATCTTTAGATGTTGATTGCCCTATGTGCTTTGTGTTAACACAATGTTGTAATTTATTTAGATTCTTTAGAAATTAAAGCGTTGTAATTTCTGTGTTGCTTATAATAATAAATAAAAAAACAAGAAGATTAGCTACGTTGTGGAAACACTAACAAACAAATATAAATTAAATTTGCATATGACTGAGTAACCAATTTGAACTTGAATTTCCATCCAAATACATGGCTACAAAATGTAATTAACTAACCTCATGATGAAACTGAAAACTTACTCAAAATGCAAAAGATACTCATGAAAGAAAACATGGGGTGAGTAGCAAGATATACAAACCCAACAGAAAGAAAACTAATCTGTAATTAGGTTATGAGGAATTGAATTGAGGATGAGTTGGATAGAGGAGAATTGGAATCTGTATTCCCATTAAAGTTATTTACTAAACTATGTGGAATCAGGGTAGGAATTGAAATTAATTTGATTACTAAAATGTACTTACATTCTAAATAAATTATTAGGTTAAAGTGGATAGCAAATTTAGAATTTTAAAATTTGTGTGATGATATAATAAGTAAAAAAGATGGTTTCCTGATGGGCCAGTTTTCTAGGAAATAAAATACTACCTCCCACCAAAAAGTCCAATTCCTCCAAAATCAGGAGTTGAATTCCTAATTTTGTGTGGCCTCACTTGCTTTTTCATTGCTTTATGTGAAGTAAACACAAGAGTAATTTGTAATCGGAATTTAACTCTTTATTTTGATTCCTACTAGGGATTAATAAACATGGGAGGAACTTGCTTGGTTCAAGATTTAAAAGTTTAGAAATGTGTATGAAAATGCATTATCATGTTTGGCAACTATATTGTTGGGAATGCAACACATGGAACATGGGATGGCAAAATGTCATACCCTCGACTTTTCTTCAGAATTTTTATCCTCGGAAAATTATTTAATGCACTTTTCTTAGACTAACTTATCCAAATACCGCATAAAACCAAATACAAGAATAATATAAAATATTATTTCTTGGTCCGATTTCTCAGTGCTCCCATGGACGGGAATGAGAATTTTTCGTTCTCATCTCCTGAGATCAGACATGAACATCAGACTTTTCTTACAATTAATTGTTATTCTGTACCGAGCAACCAAGAAATTAAAAATAATAATAAAAAATCAGCAAATATGAGAAATCTGAATGATTGAATATCTAAACCTAAATTCTAAAACAATCACATTTACAAATGCTAGAGAATGAAACAAGGTGGCTACCAAGAAAAATAGAAGAAATAAGCGATTTCCGCATACAAAAAGATCCACGTGCCATTTCGGTATCCGTGGTTGTCTGGAATATCTATCCTTCTCCTCGTGTGTCTAGCCTAACACTAACATCCACATGCCTTCTACTGTTCCCCTTCCTTTCCCGTTTAAAACACAATAATATTTTTTTTTTTTTTTTTTTTTTTTTTTTTTTTTTTATGAAATTATATTCTCAGCCACAAAAATCAAAAATATTTTGGAAGGTAGCGAACTGGCTTTTTCTTCTTCTCCTATCTAAGTTTTGGCGTCTGCTGTATAAAAAGGGTACTAAAAGCTAACAGACGGGCGGTGGAGTGGGGGTCGTTGTACGCTCCGTCCGTATACCCGGACGTGAGAGAGAAGAAACCCACGCCAGCCACCTGGCCACAAGCTTGAGCTGTCGCTGTTGTTGTTGCTGTTGGTGGTGGCTCAGACTCTCATTACTCCTCGCTCTGTTCGAAAATCTGCTCAGCCCAGTGATTTCCGACACGCTTCTCGAATTTATTACGCTACTGCCACCACCACAGCTCCATGATCTCCTGCTCTCTTCGATCCCCGCTCGCCTTGCGGGCCCCGCGGGCCCCGCTGTCACTGTGATCACCTGCTGCGCACTATTATTCTCATTCTGCTGAGACGGCTGACGTGGCAACCCCTCGCTCATAATCATCTCCGACCGTAGATACAGAAGATCCGACGGCTGTACGTCGCTCCATCTTTGGTGGAGCCCGCCGGGGCCACAAGCCGACCCGGGGGAGATTATAATCCGGTGCTCCAACCTCGTCCTGTCCTGGCCCAACAGCAGCCCGTCTTTTCTCGGGCGGTCAAGGCATCCCACGGTCGACGGTTCGCTCTTCTTTCTAAACGCCGTCCAGCTGTCCAGAGACCTCCGAAACGACCACGTCGGAATCGGGTTACCCGGTCTTTGCTCTCCGGCGAACGAGTGACGCCCCGAAACCCGGCGATAACCCGGGTCATTCTCGATATCCAAAACGACGTCGCTGCTTTGCTGGCTGTGCAAGATCTTAGAGGCGTCGTCGACTAAGAGCACGTCTTCCGGGTCGACCCGGTACCGGCAAAGCGGGCAGGTGGAGTGGGCGTCGAGCCACGTGTCGACGCACTCGACGTGGAAGGCGTGCTTGCACTTGGGGAGGAGACGGAGGACCTCGGCCCGGTCGAACCGGGTCAGGCAGACGGCGCACTCGAGCCCCTCCTTCTGACCTTGGAGCGACCCGAACCGGAAAACGGGTAAGGACTCGACGACAGAGCGGTCAATACCGGAGTTTTTGCGCTGGGTGGATCCGGAAGGTCCGGAATTGGAGTTTACGGCGACGACTACGAGAGCACCGCGCTTGCAGTGCTTGGCGTAGAGGAGGAGGAGAAATGTAATGGAGAACAATGTGGTGAGGACGCCGACGATTATGGCGATGCTGGGCCGGAAGGAGGAGGCCTTGGCTGGGCCCGCGTTGGGTGGGGAAGGTGATGGGTTTGCTGATATGGAGGCAATGTCGCCGAAGTCTGGGGTGGAGACATGGCGGGTGGTGTCTGCGAGAGTGGGTGCAGTGAGAAAAGAGAGGAAGGTGAGGAGAAGAAAGAGGAGGAGGAAGAAGAAGGGGGTTGTGGAGGAGGTGGCGGGTTTGAGAAAGAGAAAAACAAGGCCCATGTTTTTTTTCTGACGCAGTAGCAGGAGGTTGAAGAAGAAAGGGGTTTGGAGGGGTGTGAGGGTGAGCGAGTTTGTAGTTTTTGAGGCGCAAAATGGGGGGCTTCTTTTTCTTGAGATTCTTGTCCAAAGATAACAACAAAATTAACTGGACAAAGGCATCTATCTTTCTATATCTCCATCATTTATATAACTCCTAATTATACGATCATTTGCTACCATCATGAAATGATTTTATAAAATAATTTATTTTTTCATAAATGAAGCTTATAATTGTAACTTGACGTATCAAGTACAGGGATAAATGCTCTTAATTTAATATTAGATTTACAAACCTTTTTTTTTATATATATCTAAGTATGTTTATCTAATGATGTGACAATGTTTAGTTATTCAAATCTTCAATATGTAGGGGTCTCATTTGTTTTTAACAAGTAAAACACACTCATTAGTATACTTACACTTTATTTAGTGAATAAATACGGTGATTTTGACATTGAGAATCAATGGACGTATTTGATAGACTACGTGGTATGATAATGTTGTGTATATTTGATTCATCCAAATTACAAACAGAAACATTGAATGTTTTATTTTCAACAATTGTCGTTTATGAGATTTGAACTCATGAGATTCTTTCTCGAGTAAAATGAAGGCTGAATGTCATAAGTATTTGCCACTTTAATGAATCTTGATCCTCACCAACGAAGGTCTATATTGCATTATTGCTTTACTATAACATTACTATTGCATTATTGATTCTTCATTTGATGGACAAAGACGTTTCAGAAAGAAAGAAACAAAGACAATAACGGAACAACATGAGCACTGAGGGCAGAAAAGAAACACTCTCGTTCTGATGTGGAAGATTAGATCCCATCTCCCATCCCATCTCCCATCCCATACTAGATAGATAGGCAACGAAGATCCGTAGGTAGGCTGTGTTTGTCAATTGAAGTATATACCGAATGAATCCAATCAATCAGGTATTTGTGCGTCACAAATTTGAGGAAAATAAAAATAAACCCAAAAGAAAATATAAAATAAAAACCATGGTTTTGTAACTGAACACGTGATGCATGTTTGTGTGGGACCGAACGCAACAACGAACAGCCACAAGGTTGGTCCCCCCTCTTTTGGTTGATTCTGGACTGGATTGGACTGAATTGGACTCGCGTGTGTATCTGCGTCTTGCGCTTTATCAGCTGCTATGGATTGGATTTTGTGAGGGTTTTTTTGTTGCAGATCAATCCAATTCCAAACCACCATTCACCTGTTTTTTTTTCCCTGTTCTGTTCTGGGATAGGAATGGGATTGGGATTGTGCCTTTTGGAACGTTGCTCTACTGAAAGCTGTTTTAGCTGAGCTCATCTACCAACCGTGCTAGTACTACAGGCCTGTAAAACCTTGTTTCAAGTTCCAACATGCCCAAAAGGAAAGAAAATAATAGAACATTTATGATAATTTAATGTTACTAAGTTATAAGAAAATTCCATCAGGGATGGCGTGGGGAATTCATTAAAGAGGTATGCTCTAGTGTTACGGTTAGTCGCTTACACAAGTTCGAGAAATACTTCATCGTTTAAGAAGTAGAATCCACAATGCATTAACGGTCAAATTTTACTTCAATGCATGGGCAGAGTCATGAATTATTGACACGATGGGCACCTTGGCCAATTCAAGCTATTTGTTTTCTTTGGGTTAGTTTAAACTTGTTACAAAATTCTAAATTTTGGCATCTCTTCTCTATGCATTAGCTTATTAATTTAATAATGACTCATACTAACCAAATAAGGTACAGAGAAAGATATGGGACGAGTACAGCTGAGATAGTTCTTGTTCATAATAACAAAGAGAAAACAAAATAAAGCGGGAAATGAGATTCAAGTATTGGGTATATATTCAGAAAAAAGGACATTTGCAAAAATGTCACCCGAATTTTAAATTTTTACTTTTAATAACTTGAATTTTGTAAAGTGTTGCAATCCACCACTTATGTCTACCTCCGTTAAAGTTTCCGTTAAATTTAAGGGTGTTTCCGTCAATTAATTGTAACTAAAAAGAATTATAAAAAAAGAAAAAAGAAATGTCAATCACCAACAATAACGAGGAGTTCGATTACTTTTGAAATTAAACCGGAAGAAATATGAGATTTTGGTGGGTAACACACAAAAAAATTCAGGCCTTAGTTGTCACATAATTTTCATAGCTATTGGAAGATTCGGAAAAAGTAGACCTATGATTTTCATAGATCTTGGAAAAAAAGACATAAGGCAAATTCTTCATATGGTTTTCATGGATCTTGGAAAAAATACCAGCACCAATCCTCTCTCGCGGGCCCCTCTCCTGGCCCCACCCCGGCCCCCCTAAAAAACGCTTTGCATACACCTTAGACCTTACCATGATCTGTCTCTTGGCATCTCTTGGCTTGGAGTGTTCAAATTGAAGGGAAAGCTCACCGTATGCATTATTAGCAAGCTCCACAATTCCTTTTTTATGGAATATAGTTATATATCCAGCACACCAAAGTAGTGAATTTGAGACACAATTAAGGGCCATTTATGAAGGTTGTGGAGTTTGATACGACCAAGAACCAATTCTTAGCTGGTGATGCGTTACAAATTAAATTTTGGATAATTAGGTTAACCTTTTTTTTTTTTAATTTAATAATTATAGTGATTGATGAAAATGTCTTTACACTTGTGATGTGTTTACTAATTAGGAATTTGAATTCTCATCAATAATTAAATTCCACATATGGAGGATTTCTGCGTTTACTTCACACAAAGGAATTGAAAAGTAAGTAAGGCCCACACAAAATTAGGAATTGAATTCTTGATTTTGGAGAAATTCAATTATTGGGTAGGATGTGATATTCTAATTCCCGGAGAACTAGCCCATTAGGAATTCATATTTTTTACTCATTATATCATCATATAATTTTTAAAATTCCAAAGTTGCCATATACTTTAACTTAACAATGAAGACATTTTAATAATTAGTAACATACCCACACTAATTCCATATAATTTAGTAAACAACTTCAATAGGAATTTGGAATCTAACTCCCCTCAATCCATATGGTTTAGTAAACAACTTCAATAGGAATCCAGAATCTAATTATCCTCAATCCAACTCCTTCTCAATTCAATTCATCATTAATTCAATTCATCCTAATCCAAATACGGATTAATAAACATGCCAATAACAGAAATTTTAACCGAGTTAGACGTAGGTGGTGGATTGCAACACCCTACAAAATTCAAGTGGTTAAAAATAAGAATAAAAAGTTCATGTGATAATGATGCACATGCTTAAAAGTTCATATGGTATTTATGCAAATTTCCCTGTATAAGAGGTTGAGAGGAGACCCGTAGTTTTGTGATACAATGCTTTTGATTTAAATGATATCCATAATTTTAATTCTATTGTACAAGTGTAAGGGTGTCCATCAAATTTTCACTACGAATTAGGTTTTGGAAGAAACATAGAGAAAAGATAAACACAAAGAGAAGAGAAAGAACATGAGAGATGAAAAATGAGCGAGTTTGATGCCCTTACTGACCTCTATATTTCTTTGGTTAGTGATTTTCGTACTCTCATTTTCTCCCTCTCCTTCTGCACTCTTTCTCTTGTTTTTTTCCTTGTTTCTCCTTTGATTGTGCACAGGTAAAAAGGAGCATGAAAATCACTTCCCAACCTATTAGTAAGTTTAGTCCACACTTGGTGGGTGAGACTGGACTGGACTATTTCAATTAAAATAAACAAGAGGCTTAGGGCTCGTTTGGGAATGCTTTTGGAGCAGCGAAAAGCGCTTCTATCTTTTAAAAATAGTGTTTGGCAAAAATTGCAAAAGCGCTTTTGGTGAGATCCAAAAGCACTTGGAGTGGTTTTGGAAGAAGCACTTGAGAGGTGCTTCTTCTTAAAAGCACTGCAGGACAAAAACACGGGAAGCACTTGGCTCCCTTTAATGAAACTTTTAAAATGCCGAGAATACCCATATTTAATTTTTTTTTAATGCCAAAATTCTCCTCTTTTTTTTTCTCTATCTTTTTCTCTCATATTAAAATTAAAACGCTACCCGCGAAAAGCCCAACAGACGCCAAAACTTATCAGACAAAAACACAGCTTCTATTCCATCTCTCTCACACACATTGTTAACTCTGGTTAGCAACGAAGCTTTAACCTTAGCACCCTTTAGCAACACCCTTCTTCTTCTTCTGCCTTCTTCTTCTCAGACCTTTTTCCACCCTTACAAGTTCCCAAACTTCCAGACTAAGCCAGAACTTTGAAAAAATCCTAAAAGAAAACTCCCTATATAAACACAAAGCCTTGAAAAACGTTGTGATCATATATGCCTGCATCTATTATCTTCCCATCAATAAACAGCTTCAGTTTAGCTTCTTCAGCCTTGAAATATACTAAAAACACAACAACCCAAGACAGAAAAGAAGGAAAGAAAGAGAAAGGAGCAAGCAACCCAGAAAGATAGAACCCACTTGAGCTTTTCATACAAATAGAGAGACAAAAGACAGAGCTTTTCACACTGTCATGGTGTTTTCCCTTTTGCTTAAATTTATGGCTTGTTTGTCTGTTTGTTGCCTCCGTCGCTCACTACTTTCAAATTTCAGCACATATATACTTTCCATATATTTTGATTGAAATTGAATGAAAAGGAAAAAGACAGATGCATTAATGGAAAACATATATGGCTTTGTGAGAGATTATACTGGGAAGGGTTGCCATTACTATAAAGCACTTTTACTGTGTCAACCAAATACTCAACAAAATATCAAAAGCACTTTTATGTAGTATAAAAATACTTTTAAATGTGACGTCCAAACGACAATTGCTTCTTTGTAGAAGCACTTATGTCATAAGTGCTACTAAACATAAGCGCTACTAGCATAAGCGCTTCGAAAAGAAGCACTCCCAAACGAGCCCTTAGTTATTGTTTGGTGCGTTGAAATTGGACTTATTAAATCAAATATAGCAGCCCATTCTCAAGTCACAGCCCAATAGAAACGAAGCCCATGTTGATGTTTGAAAGTATGAACCGACCAAAAGTTCCAGACCCAAACTGTTAAGTATTTAGTTTCCTTTTTTCTTTTGGCTTTTCAATTTTTAATAAATAGGAAAAAGAGTTAACAAAAAGAAGAAAAGCTACCCCTCGGGCGTCGACGTCGGGATTCAGGACGAAGATAGAGAGAGAGAGGCGAAGAGGGTTTGAAACTTTGAAGCTCAGCTGATCGCGAATTAAGAATTTCTTCCAGATTGCTCTAAGTAAGTTGCCTTTCCTCCTCTAGTTTGTTCTTTGTAACCCTAACCCTAACCCTAACCCTAGATTCCATCTTCGGAACTGCTGGAAGAGCAAATTATGAGCCTTTCTGTTCTATCTATTATTAATGGGGATAATGTTATGCTTTGAAACATTGGTGATGAAAATTGAATGTTTGAATTGCAGAAGCGTAGGCGTCAATGGAGGTACAGACATGTGGTAAGCCCATTGACTCGTTGCTCGAGAAGGTGCTCTGTATGAACATTCTATCTTCAGACTACTTCAAAGAGCTTTACCGGTTAAAGACCTACCATGAAGTTATTGATGAAATTTACAACCAAGTAGACCACGTTGAGCCATGGATGACCGGGAATTGCCGGGGGCCGTCCACCGCTTTCTGTCTGCTTTACAAGTTTTTCACCATGAAGCTCACCGTTAAGCAAATGCACGGTCTCTTAAAGCACGAAGACTCTCCTTACATAAGAGCGGTATGTATGTATGTCAATTCAACATTGCATACTTATTTTTACGTGTTGTTTTCAATTTGACAAGTACCGTGTTCCTCATTACAATGTTTTGTGCTATCTACTTGCTTAATCAATAATCATTGTAGTTTTAATTTTGCTTTCAGGTTGGGTTCCTCTACTTGAGATATGCTGCAGACCCGAAGACTCTGTGGAATTGGGTTGAACCCTACATTAAAGATGAGGAGGTAAATGATGCCCTTTTCATTGCTCTTATTGACTTATAATAGATTGCTTAAGTATTTAGTTTTCAAAATTTTACTTTCTTATCATATCTGTGGAGCTACTTTGCTTTATAGATGCCAAGCATGCCCTTCTTTGTAGTTATCAAAAATGTTATCTGGAAAGGACTTTATTCCTTCTGGAATGGATGTCTATGGTTTATGGAATCTGAATTGTGAGTGATTCTCTGTTGCAATTCTGCTCAAATTTATCAAGGTTTTTGAATTTTTTTAAATTCTGGTCAAAGTACTTTGTTTCTGAAAATTATAAAGCTGCAAAATCCCCGTCTGTTTTCTGATTTTGATGGATTTGGACATCTTTATAACTTTATTGCTTGTTGTATACCCAAAGATGAGCTGTTTACGAAACATACTAACCATTTGTCTGTGTCTCAATTTCCATGCATGGAAATGTGGTAGTGGTGAAGTTGCTACTACATGGAGTACATACCTTTAACTGTCTAAATCATAAGATTTTTTTTATTCTTAGTGCTCGACGTGACTGAAACAACGAAGATTCGATTCTTAAAGGTGTTGTGCTGTTTTTTTTCCTTCTTAATTGTGGTTGATTATAACTGCTTTGTATTATTTTGTTCTGCCTTTTTTGGTGATCAAAATCAAAAGTCGCCCTTTATTACTTATAATTTGGCAATGGTAGTTCCTTCTCCCCAGCTTTGATAATTTTAAAGATTCTTAAAGAAACAAAATCAAAATATTGAATGTAATAACAAAAGTTAAAGAATAAAAAAATCCATTAACGGTCATCCCTTTTGCTTATCTTTTTTTAATTTGCTGCTCTTTCTCGATTTAATTTTGTCAAAGGAGTAGCATGGGCTTTAGAGAACTTATAAAGAAAAACAAGAAGTGCAGTGACATAAAATCTACAGTTCATAATTCTTTGATTTAGAATCTGACTGGGAGTACATTCTTTCAGGTTTAGTTTGATCCAGAATCAAAATATGGTTTGATATTTAAGGGGAAGGTATGCTTGCCTAGTTTTTGGAAGTGAGTGAAAACGAAGATGATTAGGTTAGATTATAATGTGAATCATACATTGCATTGGACAAATTTCCATTCGTATGTTGAGTCTGACATGTCCTGAATTAGTCTTGAATGGGTTGTGTTCTGGTTGGCACTTTACTTCACCTTCTTATCTCAACATGACATCGTCTGTGCATCCCCATCCCACTTTGCATGAACGACTCCATTTCTTTCTTTGTATACATATACATCAAATCTGATATTGAATGTCTCGTGGATTTATTTGCATTTATACGAATGGTCTCTTTCTGTAATACCTTTTGTTATTCTCTTATGATATTTTTATTCTCCAATTTCAATCAGTGCTGTAACTGTATTGTATCCAGTAAATATAAATTCTTTTTACTCTTATCTGCTGTCTATGGTTCTAATATATTTCTCACTGATGCAGATTCTATGACACTAGTCACTTGTTTTCCTTAGTTTTTAACTTTTTATTGTTATATTAGCATTTTTATTTTATTCTACTGGAGTTCTTCATTGTTGTGTTGGCTTTGGTTTCAGGAATTCTCTCCTGGTTCTAATGGACGAACGACAACTATGGGTGTATATGTGCGCGATTTGCTTCTTGGACAGGTTAGTTTCTTTCAAGTATGCTTTATAATTAAAATGTTATGGCGTAACGAATTGTATTCTGTACAACCCCTCCTCTGTCCTCCCTCTCTCTAGGATGCATTAAGTTGGTTTTTCTGGCCACATAAGACCAAAGCTTCATAATGCATGCGGTATACACTTTCAAGTGTACTATACTATATATAGAATGCTGAAGAACCTAATTCTACTATATACTAGTATTTCACCACCCAAAAACATGACACAATATATTCCTTTAGCAGGCCAACTGGGAGCTCTTTGTCATCCAAGATAGGCCCATTTCTCTCACTCCAAAATCTTTTTTGATCAATTATATTTGATTTGTCTTGATAAGTTGGATATTTTATGCGCGTTTAACTGCAGAAGATTGCAATAACAAAATACTAAACTCTCCTTGATATTGTTTTATTTATTTATTTAAAGCTAAAAGCCATGACAGCAAGGAAATAAATTCTTCAGACCTTATAAGATTCAATTACACCATATAGCAGAAATGTAGGGCAAGATCTGTTGCCTAAATCCGAGGCAAGCTCCTCATTTAAAACCAAGAATCAAATTACATGTAAATTTTCTTATCAAGTGACATACAGTTATTTACAAATGTTCTTGACAAAGTTGTATAGTATTAGAGGCTCTCTATTTGCCAGCTTTTCTTCAAGAGTTATCTGTTGAGAGGCCACACCTTGTGCAAAGGGATTGGAGAAAGAGTTTGTAGTAGAAAGAAGTGGTTGGTTTTCAGTTGAGTAGCATGAAGAAATGTGTTCTCAATGTGCTTTCAGTACACACTCACACACGCATATCAAACTTGAAGGCATTGTATAAAATACTCTTGTTCATGCTTCTGGGACAGTACCTTCAAATCTTCTGCCTAATGTTCCGACAATGCAGTCCTTTACAGTCACAGCTGCTGTTTTTCAGATTACAGTGCGATTAAGATCTGAATACATGTTCTTCTTGGCGCTTTGAAGCATGGTCTCAGAATGCTCTACTGTTTAAGGTCCAAATTTAACACGTGAAAAAGCAATAGCATTTCTTCCCAATTTGAGTTTCTCCATATAGAAACTGTCCAAGAGTGTTAATGAACTGTTAATTTGGTGTGTTCAAAGCCGCAGTTGGATGATGATATATTGCTTTACTGTTCATTATAATGTATATGCATGTATATAAATATGTAATAGTTTTTCTAACTGATCATAGTTGATAGCTTTGTACACCTTGTGCATAGTTTCTGATGCACCTTAATCAGACAACACATAACAATAACATGCAGCAATTTAAATACTATTTTTGTTGTCCCCATAACACTTTTATTGCTATCCTCGGAGAAATGAATTAACATTGTATATTGTGCTATTGCAGTACTATTTTGATACCCTTTTCCCCCGCATCCCTGTTCCTGTGTTGCGTCAGATTGTAGCTCATCTGGAGAAGATGAAACTCCCCACTAAACTTTCTGGCATTACAGGGGAAGCTACCCGTCATGGATCTGATGACACAGCCCGACGCCCCCCTTCTGTGAAAGCGGCACTTTCAGTTTCCTTTGGTCAACGTGCCCCACATCGTGCTTCAACAAGGGACTCATCACCTGTTCGTCGTACGTTACCGCCACCACCACCTTATGACAAAGCCAGCAGTGATGATCTACGGACCCATCGCAGCCAGAGCCGTGAGTATTCTGACAGAGAATATTCGGAGAGGGACAGGGACAGGGACAGAGGAAGAGACCGGGATCGGAATCGAGAAAGAGAAAGAGAAAGGGATAGTGATCGGGATCGAGAAAGATACAAGGAACGGGAGCGGGATCGAGACAGAGACAGAGCAAGGGAGAGAGTTAGGGATAAGGAAAGGGAGCGAGAGAAAGATAGAGAACGCAGTTCTGATTATGATCGAAGGTCCAAATATACAGAGAGAGATAGCCGAAGAGACCAATATGAGAGTAGCCGTGATGGCAGTAGACATTACCGTAGGAGTAGGAGTCGGAGCCGCAGTAGGAGCAGGAGTAGAAGTAGGAGCTTGCAAGCTGGCGCTGCACTTCATTTGAGTCCACAAAGAGATGTAAACAAGGATAGAACATCTGCATCTAGCAATCTGGCAAAACTTAGGGATCTTTATGGTGATATGAGTGAACAAAAAGGGGATGCTAGTATGGATAGGATTCCCAGGATTGACAATGGTGGTGAAGAGGTGATTAGACTTGGTGGTTCTCGATGGAAATAGCATCAAAAGGTGGTTTTCTTCTATCTGATATCGCGTTAGTCAAGTCTTCTGGCCAGATGCTCTTTTGATCATCACAAAAAAGAAGAAAATATTTCCCGTGTTTTTCTTCCATCTGCAGCATGCTCATGTCGCACTGCTGCATGTATACTACACATTATTCAGAATTTCAATCTTACAATTTATTCACATGCTCCATAGCTGGGCATATGTTAAGTTTGTAACATTATGTAATAACTAAAATCTTTCATTATCATCTAAAGTTTTCCAAGTTCTGTGTGTTAAATGTTGAATGCTTGATGGTTTGGCTAAGCCATTCATGCTAGTTGCTACTGCTACTTTGAAAGCAGAACGCCATCCAGTTGTGCAGCCAGATTACTTTCTTCTTTTTTTGTCCATTGAATTTCCGATAGCTTGCTATCGGGAGTTGTAAATAACTGGATGGTGTTACTGCTTTCATATATGGTTATCTTCGTATTATTGCTCTTCGCTAGTTTGTATCTTTATTTAGTTGCGAGATTGCCTTTGAACTTTACATGACATTTTTAGCTCAATGCTTAAGTTTTTGCAGGTACATCTGGTGTATCGGGCCTTGAAGCAAACTTATTTTAGTTGTATTCTTCTGATAAAGGCAGAATATTAAAGCAAAGAAAAATGGTGAAAGCAGCATCAAAATATGAAAAGACATCTTCTATGTTCTTACGGGAGGTGCTAAGATGTGTCCCCCACCCAAAAAAAAAAAAAAAAAAAAAAAAAAAAAAAAAAAAAAAAAAAAAAAAAAAGTTGGACATTAAGGAAATGGAACCGAGGAGAGATATATTCCCTCCTCAGTCCGTACCATCTATGCCCCACTGGTGACTGGATGTTATTACTTTATCATTTTGTAAGATACCCTTCAAGATTACACAAGTGGGTTTATCTCTCAAAGCCAGAACAAGGGTTGCATTCTAGAATCAATGAATATTTGGCTACAACTCCACCCTGTCGCTGTTGGACTATTGCACTCTGGGGAAGGCTTTATTTATTTATGCACTGGTACAAACAAATTGTACCTTCCAAGCCTTCCATAAAATACACCCCCCTTCTCTTCCTTCTCCATCTCATCTCAATCCAAGTCTCTAAACACACATTACAACAATTCACAATGGCTTCACCTCCAAATGGTTTGGCACACCTCTCCCCTGATGGTACTACTTACTCACTTCTATGCTATTGAAATCATATTCTCTTGCCAAATATATGACATGTATATTATTTCTAAATTTAGACCATGCATTGATGAGAACCCGTTCAATCAGTAGTTCAGATTGACAATAATCTGCTATCCTGTCATCACTAACCCAATTTAAAAAGAGAAAAAGAGAACATTTTCGAACCTTTTCTCTGTACTCAACTTCCATCCATCAATCAAAACACTGATTTTGGCTTTTTGGTGTGCTTAATTTTTCTGGGTTTTGCTTGGCAGATGGGGATGAAGCAGCTAGAGAGCACCTACTGACAGTGGACATTGGAGAAGCCGATGGGGACGTGAAATTCCGGATACGAAATCTGACCAAGAAATCAGAGACCACTGGATGCGCCATACTCAATGGGTTGAGCTTGGACATACCAAAAGGCGTGATCGTTGGGGTCATCGGCCCCAGTGGCAGCGGCAAATCGACGCTGCTCAGAGCTCTCAACCGCCTCTGGGAGCCTCCATCTGGGACTGTCTTCTTGGACGGCCATGATCTTCGGGAGCTGGATGTTCTCAGCCTCCGGCGCAAGGTCGGCATGCTCTTCCAGCTTCCTGCTCTTTTTGAAGGTACCCATTTGAATTTTTGATCTAATCTTATCTCCAACTACCAGTCTCTGCCTCTCTGTTCAACCACAAATTGTTTTTATCAAATTGTTGAATTGCTAACTTGTAGCTTCTGTTGAACTCCTTGCTTCATTTATACCCTATTGACTTGGTTGCAGTTGTTGGGTAGCAAATTGATTGTGTTTTTGGATTGGTGTAATTAGTTGATTGCACATAAGCTCTGCTCATTCTCATCCACCATTCTTCCTTGTGTAATTTCTATTTTTGTTTTTTATTTTATTTTGGTCAAACACCATTTTTTCTTATGCATGTGTTATTTTTGGGCACTCATATTTTTAGAGAGTGATTATAATATAAATTAGATTGGTTGTATTATAATTATATCCTATGCAGCTGTCACAGTTGGTGTAAGCATTCCAATTTAAGCTCTTGCATATTTCTGACTTTTCATTTGGGGTGGGGTGGTTCAATGTAATCCTTTCTCACATTTAATACCCAATAATTACTTTTTTAAGTAGTGCCTACCAGGACCTGATTTTATTCTTATGGGACCTAAACAATCCATCATATGGTGCTCTCCCACACCCTCTATAGATATTTCTATGATTGTAGTGGTTATACCCATTCTGTCTTATTACTTGGCTGGTGTTGAACATGGCTCCACATGATCAGAATTAGACACTAAAACAACAGATCAAATGACATATGGTTGATTGTAACAGCACTCCTTTTTTTCTTTTTTCTTTTTAAAGGAAAAAAAATATTACAAAGAAGATACATCGGATCTGACAACCATACAAATCAAAGTTAACTCCATAACTAATATCTTCAAGAAGGCCCTTCTTTGTCACGAAATCTGATACCATATTAGCTTCTCGATAGATATGTTGAAAATAAACCCGAGTATACTCCTGTAGCAAGTACCTAAAAATATGTAGTCTCATTCATAACAAAGCTAGTTGGATAGGTTCAAGGGATTTTCTGGTATGAATTATTCACATAATTTTCTCTAATAGGTAAGAATTTAAAGTGGGTCATTTCATCCCTTTATGATATGTAAGATTGGTTCACGATCCCAAGTGTTTGTTCAATTGTTCAGGCACAGTTGCAGACAATATACGTTATGGTCCTCAATTGAGGGGGAAGAAGCTGAGTGACCAGGACGTCCACAAGTTGCTGACCCTTGTAGACCTTGATTCATCTTTTTTCAGCAAGACTGGTTCTGAAATGTCTGTAGGTCAAGCCCAAAGAGTTGCACTTGCTAGGACCCTAGCCAATTCACCTGAGGTAAACAGCTCCTATTTGATTTAGAAGAAAAAAAAAACTCCCCCCTTTACTTATATATATTTTATACAAGTGATGTTCTACTTTAATATAATCTAAACTACAAAGAGAAGGATTCAAACTTAGGCGCAGAGTGGAGAGCACATCAGCTCTAGCCAACTTGGCTAAGCCCATGTCTGCAAACTCCCCCTTTTATTTAGTGTTCATTTTCTCAAGTCCATTTGGCCTTTTTATATGCTGCCATCTTGAAAATGTCTTCTATTCTACTTGGGTAGGTTTTGCTGCTGGACGAGCCTACCAGTGCCTTGGATCCAATATCAACAGAGCACATAGAAGGTGCTTTAGAGAAGCTGAAGAAGAAACAGGGCATGACAATTATAATGGTCTCACACAGCATCAAACAAATCCAGAGGATTGCTGATATAGTGTGCCTCCTTGTGGATGGGGAGATTGTTGAAGTTTTAAAACCAGATCAACTCTCACAAGCCCAGCATCCTATGGCACTAAGGTTTCTTGAACTCAGCTCTTAAGTACATGTCCCAATGTTGTGTGCACAATATTTATATAGCATTTGCTTGAAACTTCTGGAAAGTACAAAACTTTCCTAGTAACTCTGGTACTTGTATTAGTTACTTTGATCATATTTTTCTGAGGGATCTAAGAACTACTCTAAAAATTTGTATCACACTCAAATTTTTGCTTTAAGCTCCCCTCATATATATACCACATATATATACATACACTTAATATTTGTTTTTCTCAACTGAACAAGTATCTAAACTAAACTAAGACTGGGCTCTTTGCATGGCTGGTCCAAAAGAAAGTCTTGAAAGACCAAGAGGGTTGCTGTCTTTGCTTCTTGTTGTTGTGCTTGGGGGCTGGCTGAGTTTTTGTTGTTGCCATGATCATCATCTCCTCTCGCTGAGCTTTGCTTAAAATGTTCCACATAATCTGTACATCTTGATATCCACACAATTGTACATCATCTTGAAGTTTTAGCAGACCGCCTACTCCGCCATACTCACCACCATCACGCCCTGCAACATAAACACAAAACTTGTTCACATGACAATGCAACAACAGTTCCTAATGTACTCAAAATCAATAGTTAAATACATTTTTTTGCCATGGCCAAAAATAAATCTTAGCCCATGAAACCCAATTGCCGTTAGAGGCTAGCCTGATCAACACTAGCTGACATTTGATTTCAGGGTCGTACCCAATTGTCATTTTAACATGAAAACGGTAAATCAAATCAAAAGGAAGAACATAAAAGAAAAGAAAATCAGTTAAATTGCAGAAGAAGCAAGAACCAACCTACAGATTTACTCAGTTTGAGTCTGGCAGAGAAAGAAAGCAAAGCTCTCCTCAACTTATGCAACCAATCCATCTTGCAGCTCAGCTCAGCTCTGCCAGGACTCACCCTCAACAACAAGAGATCATAGAGAGAGAGAGAGAGAGAGAGAGAGAGGAGAAGAGAAGCACCCCTTGAGCAATATAGAAGTGGCTAAAGCCAAGTGGGTTTTGGAATTTATATACAGAAAAGGAGAGGAAATGAGGATTTTGAGAGAGAGAAGGAGCACGCGGCAAGAGGAGCACCGAATCCCCATAACACGTTTCTTAAGAGGCGTGCCAGGCGTCCATCATCGAACCCCTTCAACAGCCACGAGGCCTCCTCTCTTCTCACTTCATTGTCTTGGCTCTCTTCTTCTTCTTCTTCTTCTCTCTCTCACTCGATTTCATTATATATATATATATCTCTTCACATTCGGTTACAATATCTAGTAATGAATTGTAGTTCCTTCTTTGTTGACGTTGGTTCTTCGGATTTGACTCCCTCTTCCGTCTGCTCTTCTACTCTGTATTAAATGCCATGGTGTGTTTGTGTGTGCGCCTTTCCATTTTCCGCTGCCTCCGTTCCTTGCGGTTCATCCACTCCCTCTCTGGTGGGAGGTCCACGCCAGTGTTGTAGTCAAATGGTCCACGTCAGTGTTGTAGTCAAATGGCCAATTCAAAGTATTTTCGGTGATGAATTTAGATTCTACGCTTACCTTTTATTTATATTTTTATTAATGAACAAAAGTTTATGGGGAGAGGAGGCTACTCCAACCCAGAGTCCAGCATACCAAGACTTCAGAGGGAGTTTTAGCCATTTTTTAGTTTTTACAAATTATTCACCAAGAGGAATTGTCAGCAACAGTACTTGAATTTAGGTCTGGATAGCGAAGAGAATGATCTTTATCAACTCAACCAACCTTCGTTGACATTTATTTTTTAATTTTTTTATACTATCATATGTGTAATGGATCTCTTTTCAATATTGGGTAGAAAAATATCATGATACAATAACTAGTTTGTGATTATATGTTTACTTTGATACTTGTGTGTCTTGCATTATTATTATTATTTAGGCTTATTAGTTAAAATGCTCTTTAAAATTTGGGTCAAATCTCACTGCATTTGAAACTGAAAGTGACCCATATACCCTCTTTGACCATGGTTTTGCGTCTTACTTTGCTCCCTGCCATCAACTTCGTTGCTAGTCCTATCAAAATTGTTGACGTGGCAGAGGTATTTTCATCTTTTTGTCCCATATGGCATAAAAACATTATAAAAAATAAAAAATTCTTTTAAATAATTAAAATTTAAACATTAAACATTATTATTATTATTATTATTATTATTTTATAAAAGAAAAAGAACCAATAACCTCGTCCCCACCCATACCAGCCATCTCCACCTAGCCCTCACTTCGATGTCACCACCACCTCTCCACCTTCCCCTATCGCGACCTTAGCCCACCTACTAGATCAACCTACTCCAACAATCCTTATCTCCCATCTCTCATCTCCTATCTCTCTCAGCCCACGAAACCCACCTCATCCTCACAGTTGCTCATCTTGGGCAAACCTTATTGCCGCACAACCACTTTCCTCTAGCATATTCATCCACCAACCCTAAAACACCCACCCCAAATGACACAACTCCAAAAAACCAACTTGCACCCAGCCACCTCCAACACATCCTTACCCAACCACCCCAATTGATCTCCCAACCCAAATCGCAACCGCCAATTGATACCCAACCCTATATTACACAAACCAAACTATCCCCAACCCTCTTCCCCAAATCTAACTTTCAAATTAAGAAGAAGAATAAAAAAAATAAAAAGATCGAGAGAAGAAGACCAAAAAAAAGAGGAAAAAATGAAGAAGAAGTGGAAAAGATAAGAAAAAAAAAGAAAAAAAAAGAATGGGTAGAAAGTCGACTGCTGGAGAAGGAAGAGTATAACATTTTTTAAATTCTTCTAAGCATATAATAAATATCATCATTCTACAAAGATTACACAAGAATACAACTTGCTCTAGTGGTAATGACCATTTATTGGGTATTGGAGGTTAGGGGTTTGAATCCCCTTAAACCATAATACTATTTAATATTTGCATTAATAGTCCATGTCAATTGTTTGGTGTCAACTTGTATTATTTAATTACCTTAAGCTAATACACGCCTTAATTATAAGGCTAGAGAAAAGAAGAGTGTTGCTAAACGAACCCTAAAATTAACTAAGTACACCATATAATCTAAGTACACCATAATATTTTAATCAAAATGTAAAATTAACTAAGTACACTCTATTTAAATATAAAAAATACCCTCACTACACCATAATACATTCTATCACACAACACCTAATACCACTCCTTACATAAATTTGTGCCCTCTTTTCATATTTTAGGTTTGCATAAAAATCTTTAATTTCGTAACCTGTTATGGAAGTAGATTTGCTAGCTCATTCAATTCAAAGCTTCTTTATTGTAAAACTATTTTAACATATACCAGACTCCCCAAAAGTTTTCTTCAAGCTCCACATAGCTTAATGAGGATGAGGAGTTCATTGTTAATCCTCTTCCCTTCTCCCCTTTCTTCCCCTACTATATTCCTCATTTACTTTTTGTTTCCTCCTAATTTGGTGTTCATTTTGTGGATCATTCTCCCTCTTTTGTGGGTGTTTGCTTGAGGTTTTCTCCTCCTTACTTGGTCCATTTTTGTGGCCCCCTTCCCTCTTTGTGTGGGTGAGCTTTGAGGCTTATTCCTTAATTTTCTATCATTTCCCCTCACATGACCTTCTCCTCTTATGTCGGCGATGGCAATAATAATGGCAGCAGTGGAATGGGCAACGATTGTGGTGGTTTCAGCGTCATCGACTTAGTTTTTATGTTCATGTGTTTACAGGCTATGTATTTTCTCCACTCATCGTCAGCGGCTGCGTCTCAGCATTTGTTCTCCACCACCATCATTTGCTCCTATACTCCGCGAGTGGAGGATGTTTTTAAAGTGTATGTGTCAGTTATTACTTAGATTATGGTAACGCTCTTTGCATCTTTGGTGGCTTGTCCATCACCATTTTCTGTTTGTAGCTTTGGTTATCATTTTCTTTTTGGTGGTGGTGGTGGTTTTCCGTGGAAGGCACGGCTTGTGGGTTTTGGGCGGTGCAACATTTCCTTGTTCTTTGTCTTGTGGTTTCCTAAGTGTGTGTTGTGTTTTGTGGGCTTTTGCCTTTATGTGGGCTTTATGCCTTTCGTGAGTTTAATGACTATAGTGGGCTCTATGCCTTTTGTATTGCATTTGGTTGAACTCATTTTTGGGGTTCAACGTTTGTGTAATTGGCTTTGGCGTTCTTTTGAATAGAACTCGATTCTGACAAAAAACAAAAAACCAAGAGGAAATGTCTGAACGTATCATAGACTTAACAATGATGGGATATTCAACCAAATATCACATCCATTCCATTCCCTTATTGAACTGAGTACACCATCTTGAGAAGTCCATGGCTAATCTATAATGTCTAAGTGAATATCCCATCTCCCATTTTCTCTATCGTAGATTTTCTAGCGTTACTGTCAGACAAAAACCAAGAGGAAATATTTGAACGTATCATAGACTTAACAACGATGGGGTATTCAGCTCCAAGAATTGCCTGGATCTCCTAAACTTGGGTGCTGGTAGAAGACTTTCATGTTCGTTAAAATATCAAACATGGTTCTCTTCCGTTTATAGCTAGTCGGTCAATAAAACATAAATGTTAGATACTTAAAGTAATTAAGTACTGAAGCTAATTAACAAAATATACCCCATTGTTGCCAAACTTGCTGCTTAACCCACCAAAACTTCTCTACGTTTGATTAGAGTGTACTTATTAAAATTATATTTGTTTCACAATTCAATATATCCTTTATGGCCATTTTATATTATGGTAAATTAGTAATTCAATAAATAGTTTGGTAGCATGGTGCACTCAGTTAATTTTAGGGTTCTTTTAGCAGCACTAAAAAAGAAAACATGTTTTCTACATGAAAAATCATACGCTCTTTTCATCTTCTTCTCCTCAAGGTTCTACCCGGCTATCTTCTCCTCATATATTTTTCTTTCTCTCATGGTTTTTTTTTTTGGGAGTTTCACTAAAACACCCAAAATGGAAGCTGAAATTATAAAAAAACCCAACACCCAAAACATTTTATAAACACACCCAAAACCCATCATTACACACACTCAAAACCCATTTATAAACACACCCAAAAAATATACAATTGTTGACTTTGGGGTTGATTTTGGGTGTGTTTCTATGTTTAAATAGTGTTTGGGTTTTTTTTTATAAATACATGTCTAGGATTGGGTTTATTTATAAATTTGTATTTTTTTTTGGGTCATATATCTCTGTCATGGGTTGATCGGCAACTAATTACTACTCTAGCGAATTCCAATTCCAATAACAAACCTACACAAATGTTAGAAATATGCCTTAAGAGCCAATACATTTGATGTAATCTCCTTAGAATACATTTCGTATATGATAAATAAAGGGCAATCTAATTTTGTTATCTTTTGTATCGTGTAAATAAACAAATGTCCAGGGTGTGCTAAATAAGAGATAAAGTAATCTAAAGAAGATTAGATTCGGGAGACCTTTAATCTCTAACTGTAGTATCCCAAAATGTTCCTAATCGTAGGGTTATCAAATGGGTATTGATTAACCGTCAAGATTAATTGGCACATATTATGTATGCTCAATAATAAGGATGGTTAGTCTCAAACCATTTGTGTAGTTGACACTAATACAAGTATGTGGGTGCTTATTAGTGAATGAGCACATTGAGCGCGATCAACTGTAGTTCTCGTATGAAGTATTTATCTATATGTCAAACAAAAACAAATAGTTGCAATAATGCAAACTAATCTTTAGACCTGAGGCACCATGGTTGTCTTGTGATGCATTATTGATCTTTGATAGCTCGCAAAGATAAGTCGTAAAAGATTTTCCTTATGTGTTATTGGGATCTCTTAATTCATCATGGGGGCATGTGAATGTACAATAAGGAATCTCTACCTTTGATAAGAAAATGAGAATGTTTCAAGATATGATTTAGTGAATCTTCGGCCGAAGTACTTGAATATGATTTAGAAAGTGATTTTTAATCATGTTCTATTGAATCACATGAGGTTAATCATATTAGGGGTTTGACATAATCAATTCGTACCCTAATGATATGATTGGAAATATTGTATTAGAGAAGGACCGTATTGCATTCCAATTCCAACTGAATAAGCTCTTCAACTATTCTGGTTAGCTTGGGTAGCTTTGATATATTGCTAGATGTCACTCTTGGCTCGTGGAAGTCTTAGGATTGATTATGATCAATCCATATAAAGGAAGAATTAAAAGGGGGTTTTAATTCCAGTTGATTAGAAAGAGTTCTAATATTTTCTCATTGCCTTGCTAATTAGAACCTAATGGATCGCACACCTTAAATGGTTAACTTTGAGAAATACATATGAAATTGTGGAAATGAATTTGATCGATTTGATGCGGATTATTCACTATGTGTAAAAGTGTATTTGGGCCTCGATAATAGTTAACGAAAAGCCCAAATGGTTGGGTACCAAGTCCAAGGGCTTAAGACACCTAAATACTATGATTTAACCAATTATGAAGCATGGCTAAGTGATCCTACTCACATTGGACCTAGTGCCTAGGTGGTTTGGCCAATAGTGGGTTAAGAAATATTGAATGGCGATGTCGGCAGGGGTTTCCGAGGAATACAAATAACCTCTGGGTTTTTTCAGATTTGGCGAGCATCTGGAATAACTAGTGAATTACAACTCTATTGTACTGCAATTGGTGCATTGGTTTTTGCTGCCTTAATGCTTTTTGCAGGTTGGTTCCATTATCACAAAGCTGCTCCAAAGTTGGCTTAGTTCCAAGATGTAGAATCTATGTTGAATCACCATTTAGCAGGGCTACTAGGCCTTGGTTCTCTTTCTTGGGCGGGACATCAAGTACATGTATCTTTACCATAAGGCCCAAAATTGGAAGCCCAAAGGGGTTTGGCCGAAAATGCATAAGTAAGAGTGCATGGAAATAGTTCCAATAAGCTCATTAACACATAAACACAATATAACATCAACCAAATAGGTTTGGGAGATCAAATAGAGATTAAAGAGAGCTTAAAGAGAGTTTTCAAGAGTGAAACAATATCATCTTTCAAGGGGTTTAGATTGAAACCAAGTCTTGGGGATCTTGCATTAGCATCCTTGAATTCCCAAGATTCTTCCTTCTCATCTCAAGGTTCCATTGGTGTGGAGACTTAGAGACCATATCCTTTTGTGGCTCACAAGGAGGAGAAAGATAAAAAAGGAGATCAACAAAGGGAAATCATCATGAAAAGACCAAAACACAACTTGGTTCATATTATAGCTTCAAGGGTAATTAGAACTTATCATTTTCTCTTGTACTTTTATTTTATGAAATTATATCAATGTTCATGACTTGGAAGAAGTTTTTTTTTTTTTTTTTTTTTTTTTTTTTTTTTTTTTAATTTACAACCACCACAAACTTCCGCTGCAATTAATTTGATTAAATGCATGTTTAATATTCAAATGAACTTCTTAAAAATGTTTTAAAACCAACAACAACAACGCAACAACTATGAGAAAGCGTGCTGGAAGGGCGAAAAAGAGGATTTCAATTTCAATTTCAAAAGGAGGGCTAGAAGGAGACCAACACAGCAACTATGACCAGCGAATTCCAATTTCAAAAGAAGGATTTCATGCTCATGGAGTTAAGCACTAAACAACATCAATGATATGGTTCAAGACCACATAAAGGGGATCACTTTCATTCTTGAAAACTTGGCAGTGTATTAAAAAAGAAAAAGAATATTGAGTAGAGATATTATAATTGTGGAGGAAAGAAGGGTGCAAGAGGAATCAAATGATGGAGTGTCCATGTCAGTCTATATGATTTTTCAAGCTCATGGAGTCTAATCCGCTGTTATCTAACGGAGCACCAAACACATTATAACTTAGTCATACTATTTATCCTAAACAATACCAAATGCTTTATAATATTATGGATAAATAGTTAGTACTCTCCGAAACAAATTAATACTGTCCAACATAAATTAGTTTGTACAATCTGACGTACCAAACAAGCCCTAACATGCTAAAAACTACTAAAGTGAACAAAAGCTGCACTAAAACTATTAGCTTACAAACCCAACATAACTGAAATCCTAAAGCAACATAGGAGCTTAGCTAAACTCTACCACCACCATTTATAAATAAAAAATAAAAAAAACTCTATCACCACCACTTGAAGAAGTGCCGTTGTGGTCACACTCACCACCTCATAAAATTTTGAAGTGAGAACAAAATCAACAGAGCGAAAACAACAACCCTAACAAAGAACAATTGAGTGATTTGCAGTAACCTCCATCAAATATGATATAGTACCAAATTTAGAGAGTATGAGCAGTGTTAAAGACCATGTTTTGAGAGAAGAATTTGATTGAGAACATAGCTCAAAAGAGGTGATTGGGAACTTCAAATTGAGCATGATTTAGAATTAGAAGAAATCACCACAAGAGGCTTCTTATTCAAAATGCCCAAGTGGATTTATTCACTAACACAAAAGAAAAATGGAAAGAAGAGATAGGGGTGGTGGTGGGGAGGGCTAGTGACACTCCTCCTCTATGGAGTTTTTCTTATCACAAAGAGAGAGAGCGGCTAGAGTTTTTAAATTTAATGTGCTTTGTGTGTCTTTCATTATTAATCTTGAGGTTTTCTAATTTAGCGTTTAATAACAACACTACGCATGATTTCAATTTTTATGAATGACAAATAGTAAACTAAAATAAGAGCCATGTGGATTCTTTTCTCCTTTTTTTCTTCTCTTTTATCTTCGAAGAAACCAACATTTGATTACGCCTTCAATCTAAGGGGCCTAGACCCCATTAACAGAGCGTACTTATTATTTTAAGGGAGATTCACTATTATACTCAATATAGGGGCCCAAATTATAAAAATACCCCATATGAAATGGACTTTATAAACACACCCAAAGCCTATTTACAACATAACAAATAGACTTTAACTTCTTATAAATTACAAAACTACCATACATTTCTTAAAACAAGCCCAATCCCAAAATCTTATAAAAATACCCAAAACACTCAATAAGACATTAAAGTAATTTAATAATTAATATTAAATTTAATAAGACCAGTTGTCATTTTTTGGGTTTTTTTTGGGTTTGTTTATAGAATTTCAATGGTGTAGGGTTTATTTATAATATTAATGCTAAAAATGGGTATATCACTAAATATCTATTATTTTAATCTTAAATACCATGTTTACTTATCAGAATCAGAAATAGATATTAAAATTATTAAAATTTCCCTTTTATCACTAGGTTTCCAATTCAATTCATGAATTCCCATTCCCAGTAAGTATAGATATAGATATATATATATATACGTCGGTCTCAAAAAGTGATATATATACGTTGGTCTTCAGGGTAAAAGATACTTTGTGAAATCCTTTGACTAAGTGGGCCTGAAACTTGCCGAAAGCCAATTGAGATAACGCAGGGGCAGTCATCGGCCCATTCCCAAGCCTCTTCCTCGTCTGTATCCCGAAATTCGCTACCTAGGGTTTGTTTAACCGTTCAGTCCTTCACCCTTCACCAGCCACCTACAGCTGTGCGCTATTTATGCAGGCGTCTCAGAATCTGGAAATACAGAACCAAAGCTCAAACATGGAGGCCGAGACTGCAACAGAAGAAGGCTTGTCACTGATAAAGCAACTCGCTTCATGCAACAAGAGCGGCCGAGACAGAGCACTCAGGGTCCTCCTCAAGACATGGCTGCCAACCCAACTCAATCTCCATGACGACCACATGAAGAAGCTCTGGAAAGGCCTCTTCTACTGCGTATGGCACGCAGACAAGGTCCCGGTTCAGACCCAGCTCATCGATCGACTTTCCTCTTTGGTCCTCAGCCTCCATCTCCCTCTTTCCATCCATTACTTCTCGGCCTTTTTGCTCACTATGCGCCGCGAGTGGTCTGGCATCGATGCCTTGAGGTTAGACAAGTTCTACCTTTTGATTCGCAGATTTATGGCTAGTTTCTTTGCTTTGATGAGAAATAATTTGTGGGATTTGGAGCTTGTGAAACGTTTGATGGGTGTGTTGGAAGAGGTGACTTTTTTCGCTGACGATAAGTTTCTAGGTAATGGTGTTAATTACCACATTGCCTCGGTTTTTCTTGAAGAGCTTAGGCCGTATCTTCCGCTTAAGGCTGAAGTTCTTGAGGTTGTTTTAGTGAGTTTTATTCGTGTTTCGGCTAAAGTTCCTGATAAAGTCCTGTTGGGGAAGATTAGGAGTAATACGTTTGATGCTTTGCTGGGGGCGGGGAAGAGGCTATTGGAGGTTAAGAAATTGGGGGAGGATGTGGGTTCGGGTGATGAAGTTATGGTCTTTGGGTCAATTGCGTTGGTGATGGGGCTTTCGAGCAAGTTTTATGAGTTGGGCTCTTCACCTGAGTGCTGTCAGGGGAATAGGAAGGTGTTATTTGGCTTGCACGAGGAGTTTCTTAAGTTGGAAAAAGAGTTGGAATCTTCTGGGATTGAGATTTCTATTCCTGATGTTGTTTACAATGATGATGAGGTAGTGCCGACTTTGGTTCCTCTTGCAGGTGAGGAGATGGAAGTTGGAAACTCAGAACCTGGTGAGGTTGTCATGGTCAATGGCTCTGCTGGAAAGCTTTTGAAGAAGTGTAAGAATCGTGAAAAGGACACTGGTGCTGCTGATACAAAGGCAGAGAAGAAAAAGAAGAAGAAAAAGAAGAATAAGAAGGAGAATGGGATTTTGGATTCTGACTCTGAAAAGAGCTCTACAGATAGGGAGAATGAGAATGTAGTTGCAAATGGTGAGAGTTCAAATAATCAACAGGCTACTGATGAAAATGCTGTTAAACTTGATGATAATGTGATATCAAACCTCCAGATGCAGTTTGAGAAGATTGCTGCTGAAGCAGGCTTGGATGGTGATGTTCCAAGTGCCTGTGATTTGCCTACAGCTTCAGATAAGGGCCCTGTCTCTAAGAAGAGAAAGAGAGTGAAGAAAGCTGTTGAAGAAGATGTTGAGGGTGGCACCAATGCAAAGAGTGGGGAGAAGAGTGCAAAGAAGGTAAAGTTTTCCATGAAAAGTAATTTGGTTTGGAAGCCCCAAAGCCCTTTACCTCCGCAAGATTTAAGAGTGCCTCCTTCTGCTACGCCTAGAGGAAGTGCACTTAAGAAAGGAGTACCTCCAGGTCCCATTAGGGAAATGCCTCTCCCTACTAAAAAGGTGAAAATGGTAAGAGTTGTTACTGCCAAGAAGGCACGGAAGGCTATCAAACGCATAAAGAAGCTAAAATCTCGCCCTAATTAGAAGAGATCAATTTTGTATTATCATTTTTTAGCTGAAAAAAATTGTTCTGTGTTTGTTTTTCATACACAACTTTAATGATTGCCCCATTTGTGCTTTTTCTTGTCTCCTATGTTTTATTGGGTTTATTTATAAAGTTAATTCTGACATTGATATTGGTTTATTCTTCAAATTGAATGAAATGATGCATTGGCATATCCCTTTGTTTGATACTTACTATGTTACTAACTTTCTCAAGAACACACTGCCCCCTGATGTTCTAGTCTACTAATCATCTGTGGATGTTTTACTCTTCAAATGACTATGATATTTATCTCTGTTGTTATTTGATTTTAGTTGCCTCCCTTTTTTCTGTGGTAGATTTATATTAGGTAGATGAAAAGACAAAGACCTCCTTGTTTATTTGCTGCATTTTTAATTTTACTAATTTTTCAGTTCTTATGTTAGAGGTGATAGACTTAAAGGGACATGTAGCATATTAGTGTCATGAACTACGTTGCCGTACATGTAGATTGTGGTCGAAGATATTCCTCTTGAAGTAACTTTTCCTTTGTGTTTTCCAGTTCAAGAGGAGTGAAATAAGAGTGACATGTATCTGTCTTCAACATTGTGAGGAATAAATATTGAACTCTTTTCCTTTTCACCATGCTGATAGATCTATGGTCTATCAAACTGCATATATTTGTGCTTGGTTTTTAGCTACCAGCCTGATTAAACAAATCTTCAAAACAGCTAAATCTACACACTTATGTGCATCCAGTCTGAGTGTTGAGGGTCCACGCTTTTATACTATATATTTTTTCTGGTCACCCTGCATCTATTACAGGGGGCCATGTGTTCTGGTGAATTAGGATGATTAGACGGGATAAGGTTAGGAATCTTTACAAATCACTTCTCCTCTATTACTGATAAGGTATATTGAAATTTGAATCACAGAGATCTATTCCCGTGTACTTCTTGCTGAAAGTAGATCTTTGGAAATATATGACTTGCACTTGAGAGAGATTCTAATGTTTCTGATTTTGCACTTAGGGGAAGATAACAAAATTGATTCCAGTTGTAGCAAAATAGTATTGCTTTTATCATGCTTCTAGGGAAATGCCTTTTTCCTACAGTGTTTGCAGCATATTTTCACTCACTTTTGGAGAAACTCCTTGACAACATGTGCACACAATTTTCAGCTCTTGTCTTGATCATGTTCCTCTCAGAAATACATGTACGAAAAATGGTCTTGTTAAAAATGTCTTTGTGGGTTGCTAAGCGTCTCTGCAAATTTTTGGTTTTACAAAAGGACGTATATAGGATTTGTGTCATTATACTTATGAAGGCCAAAGCTGAAAGCACCGCTTGCCTGCATTATGTTTGAATACTGACAATATTTTTTATGTATGAGGACTAATATGATCCAACTCTATGGTCGGTCTTATTTTTTTGGTACTTTGAGTGGGTTTGGAACATGAATGCTTGGTATCAGTGTCCCAGTTGTTTCAGTCCTTTTGAATGTTGAGAGGGCTTGTAAAATGTGGATATACTAGGAAGAAGAAATTTTAACATCACAGAAATTTGATGTGATGACTGATAGGTAAAACAGGTGTTGTATGTCAAGAAGACTAATCAGGATTCTATTAGCCTAACTGCATATTTCTCGGGTCCCTGTATTTCAATGTGTAGGATTTACTGTTCTCTTCTGTACCAATTGTCTTGTAATATTCAATGCTTCAAATTGTGGTGTTATGATTCAAGTATTTTGTGTCTTGTATGTGTTTTCAATTTATATGGTTCTAGAGCTCAATTACTTAGCGTTGTGTGTCGGGCCAATGTTTGTGTTCGTCATGGCAGCATAACTCATAGTCGTCACATGCATAAGCCATGCAACATGTAGGCATGTACTGGCTATTTGCTTGGGGAAATTGGTAATCACCAAATAATCATAATAGGATTGGCAAATATGTGGGTGTTAGTTTGTTGATTAGGATTTGATTTGGTTTTGTTCTTCTCAGTAGGATATTGTTATGATGTTGCTATTTGGTGCTAGCAGAGTTTTAAGAATAATATTGTGAGCTGTCTTTCATCCTCCAAATTTGGTGATAACTGTCTACCAACGTAGGTTACCAATTCACAGAGCTCAAATAGTTATTAGGTAGGGCTTCTTTTTCCTGTCACCTTGTTTTGTCTAGCTCCTCTTTTGCTATTATTGTTTAAGCTCGTACTTTGAGAATGCAATTTGCAAATGGACAACACACTGTAGTAGCCAACTAGCCTAACTTACATATGTTATGTTACCGAAATCTCGTAATCTATTTATTGGTCGTGTCACGATGTTAAAATTGCTGCAAACAAATAAAACTTAAAATACAAATAGCATCCCATGTCGTTTTATGTGGAGAGGAGGAAATCAATGAAGTGATCATGCCAATGAGCACTCAGCTGGAAACCCTTGTGGGAAGCGCTTGGTATCTCTGCAATAGTTGTAAATCATGTAGTTCTTCTGAACCCATTTGATTCTTTCTTGGCCAGTTGCATCCAGTGACTGACTCAACCAGCTGGAGGAGCTTGAGGAACTGGAAGAAGAACAATGGGAAGAGCCTGAAGACCAAGTGCAAGCTTGGGCGTTGAAGTTTCTGTATGAGGCTGTAAATGGGGCTTTGCTCCAATCTGCCTTCACAAGCCCTCCACGTGTGGCCCAATCATCTGCATTCCACAGGCTTGAGTATATTGACATGGCTTGGTTCTTTGGGAAAGGAATTCCCTTCGATTCTAAGTTCTTGAACTGTCTAATGGGTGTCCCATCCACAGAGAATCTAATTAATCAAGAAGAACAAAGCATAGAAGTTTATTAGGATACATACAAAAAAATATTTGAGTAATTCTAAATGGGCTAATGGCAGACTACAAATGGACCGTAAATATTCATACAAAAACTCAACATGATCAAAGGTTCATATTTACTATCAAAAGAATCATCTTATGTTTTGAAGAGAATATTTCCTATGTTATATGTACCATATTCACTAACTATATCACTAATTACATGTCTCACGAAGATGAAATTCATTTACTAATTACATAACTGAATCTCATCGAGGTCTTATTTAGTGAGAGTAAATATGATACAAATAGTTTTATCAAGTCAAAATGAGAGAGAGAGAGAGAGAGAGAGAGAGAGAGAGAGAGAGAGAGCTTAGTTTAATTACATGATGCTTTGAGGGTTCCACAAGATGGAGTAGGTGTGGAAGTCTTTGGTGGGATCAAACCAAAGATAGAATTGTTGCTCCCTATTACCCTTCCCTTGTGTGAAAACATTTGTGTGTAGAATATAAGGATCTCCGCTTAGGTTGCCTAGAAACTCAAAATCTATCTCGTCATGAGTAGAACCCAACGAGGACAGCTGCAAAATTCACACATATAAAAAACATTAGACATGCATGATATGGATATGATGTATTACGTATATAAAACTTAGAAATAAGAAAGCAGCTAAATTATACATGATGAAGTACTCACATAGTAAGCCGTAACAGTACCAGCAGAGTTACCAGGGACAAGCTTGATCTGCATATCAATTTTCCCAAACAAGTACTGATTCTTGGACCGGAAACCCGACCCCGAAGTCTTGTCCAGGGACAGCGTAAGAAGCTGCCCGTTGTCGAGAATTTGCGCTCGACCGTCACCCCATGTTAAGTCAAAATCTTGGTTGAGGTTACCAGCCGAAGCCACAACCAAAATGTTGAACAAAGTTTGCAGAAGTACTAGAACCAAGAATATCTTTGTCATGGTTTGGTTGATCGAATTGAGGAAATGGGAAGGCGAGAGAGAGAGAGAGAGGGAGGGAGAGAGAGAGAGAGGGAGGGAGAGAGAGAGGGAAGGAGAGATAGAGAGAGGTGTTTGATGAAATGCATGGGAATGGAGAAGGGTATATATAGTGGTTTTATGGGTGTGGGAGAGTATGGGAGAATTAGTGGGGCTAGGCTAGGCTAGTAGGCAATGATCAATCAGTTGTGGTGGTGGTGGTGGTGTTGAAGTGGTTGGGAAATATGCATGCGTTTGCTTAAGAGATTTGGGTTGACTTGGCTTGGGTTTATATGAGAGTGGGGACCAAAGACAGCTAATAAGATGATGTTCATTTCTCCAAGCTTAAGTTTTTTTTTCTTTCCTTTTTTTGGGTTGCTCTCCAGTCCAATTGCATTGCCTTGGGAAGTTGGGAATCAAAATCTTTTTCTACGCGGTTGTGCGGTATTAGAAGGTAAAGGGAAAGGCAGAGAGAGAGGGTTCAAATCCCATGTACATGATATCACAGCTGTCCAAATGCTTGTTGGTTTGCTATTAATTGGGTTCTAAAACTCTTAAATATCATTTGTGTGTTCCCCAAACCAGAAAACAATGTTAAGCTCGGTTTCCTCTTGACTTCAACTTAAATTAATTGGTAGTAGAAAAGTAAAAGATTTCACACTTGAGAGCAATTTGTTCACCACAAGCATTACTATTCTTCTCAAAGCGTGTCATTTGTTATATGTATTAACTGCGATTGACCTTTTGTGACCAATTATTGTCTAGAGTCAAAAGAAATAGGGCAACGTTATCAGTTTATCATCCTGACTAAGGGCAACGTTATTAGTTTGTCATCCTGACTAACATAAAATTTAACGTGCAGAATGACAAACTGAGAGTGTGAATAACAATCGATGAGGAAAATTATACAGTGTTCAACTTCAAACCAAAATACATGCTAGTTGAGGACAAATATTATGAAATTTGTAGTTATTTACGCCATGTTAATTTCAACATAGAAAAATGACACGTGATCAAAGATGATGAGCACAATTATTGTCAGTTGTTATTCTTTCACATAAACTATACCTTTTGTCTATTCGTCTTAAAATTCTTTTCAATTAATTGAGGTATTGAAGATGATGATAAGGGGCAAATTTTAAAAATGAAGCATTAGTTAGTACTAGAAGCTTAGGTAAGAGGGACAATTAATATCTTCAATTATTGTCGGCGGGCTTTTATCTAACGTATGTGGGAGGTCTAAAGTTCTAAAACATGACGCACCATAATTTGTGTTGTATATGGCTCTCGACCTCAGCCTCAGCCTCAGCCAGCCAACCAAGGGAGAGAAGGTAGGTTGGTAGTGTCAATGTCAATTTCGCCAAACCAGAGTCTTGGGATTGTCATAATGTTGCTTTCATGCTAAGCTGTTGCCCGCTTATGGGCAATGGGCGTATAAACTATACCTTTGTTTTTTCCAGCACATAGATATCACCTTTATATACCAATATATTATTTAATTTTCTCTTAGGATTTTAAAAAATAGTACTATACTGTATAATAAGATAAAGCGTTGACGTTTGTACTTGCATGCATGTATCTAGGGCAGGCCCTGTGCTTCTGAACGTTTGAGCTTAGTTTTCCAGGAGATCAAAAATTTTTGGTTTTTGGGTAACTCTTTTGGTTGTTTTCAATTTCAAACAATTTTGGTGTATTTCATTATCTTTTAGTGTCGTTTTTGTTACTACTGTGTATATATATATATATGTATACAATTCTTCTTGGATAAGATGTCTGTTCTTTTAATTAAAGAACGGACTATTGATACAGTATTAATAAAGTTTTGATATCATTATCGATAACATGTCAATAACAAAACACACCGACAGAATTGATAGAAAAATCTGACAACTTTTGTACATACATATAAATATAGATATTATTATTGAATGGTGCTTTCTATGTTATGTTATCTTGCAAATTTACATATTTGTTACTGAGGGGCAGTAACAATAGCCATCCAATCAGAAAAATGCTTGGATTATTCCCTAGTCATCCTACTTATCCGTAAATCACAGTTTGATATATATGCTAAACATTGATGAGTCATTTCTGTATAGATGTTAAATTATGATTTGCAAAATGGAGAAATCACTCATCAATGAAAATGATCAATGGTCGATCCAACAAGTTGAAAAAACTGAACCTGAACAACTATTTTGCTATTGTGTCCCCCTTTTTTGTCTCCACTTTGTCCACAATTATTGCTTGAATGACCTTCCTAATAATAACAGTAAAAGGATAGAAGTGGCGCATAATCTAATGACCACATCCAAAGCCATCATGCATTTGTCCAATTCCATTTTGCCATCCCCACTTTGTTACTTCTTCGAAATTAGGGTTGTGTGGTTATATGATTCGTAGTTCATCTTTATCTCCAGCTAGCTAATGATTAGTTCAAAACGATAAGAATGGAGCCAATAATATAATAACACTTTGAATAGACATGATTAAGAACCAATTATCCTACCCTCAACAAATTTTAAATGAATGGAAAGTAGATAAAATACTGAGGTTAATCCATATCTTAATCGGTCGACACAAACATGGGTCCTCGTCAAATGTTGCTTTCTTGCCCATTCCAGCAGAGTGGTTATGGGTTGCTAAATTCATAAATAGCTGTCCTGCTCTTTCAACAATCCATTTGGGAACAAATGATTGAATTGAATTCCACTACCAAACAAACAAGTTCATTGAACTGTAATCAGTTCACAGATTTTTCAATGATTCATTCAAACTGTTTCAATTCACTACCCAATAGGTAGACTTGTTTATAATCGTAAAACGTACTGCAATCAGGCTTTCACTAGTTTCAAACATCCATCCCTACGGTGGATGATCCCTCTTATAGAGAGGGGAAAGTAACTCTAATTACAGATATGAATTATTAAAAACTACCTACTGATGCTGTGTGGAAGTGAAGGTAAACAGTTTCCAATACATTTCTAATAAACGATAAATCCTTTTTAAAAAAATTATTTTTGAAACAGATGCAGCACTCTCCAGCTAAACAAATCCTTTACTCTAAAGCAATCCCTGAAACCCCTGCATTCTTGTTCGTGAAGCAAGCTTCAATTTTGACCCCTAAAAAGACAAAGCAAGCTTGAAGGGTGACTTCAGTGGCTCCAAAGTACTGATTTTTCAAGCACCTTCACATATAATTTACTATATTGTAATTACAGTTTCACCTTGCTTTCTTTTTGTTTTTGGGGTGGGGGGTGGGGTTAAAATACGAGGGTCAAGAATCCCAAAAACACCTATATTAATCATCCATACAAATACGGCGGGCCTTAGAGACCCATACAAATGTCATCGATGAGAACTGGTCCAACCCAACTGGGAGACCTTTCTTTCCTTTTCATTATCAGCCACTTTTCTTATTGCTCATACATCATTCTCACCAAAGGAAAACAAGTTGCTAGAACTACTTTGCCCCATTGACAAACCAAATATTTACCTAATGTTGAAAACGGAAAGAAAAATATAGGGGAAAGCGGAAATTGGAACATTGATGTAATAAACTACTCAAATAAGCCTTAGGGAACTAACCTTAGAACTGTGTCCATGAATTAAATTACGAAGCACAAACAGAACAAGCAACAAAGCCAATCAATAGAAATAGGGCAGTAACACAAGAAGGCCGTGAGAATAAGTAAATATATCATACTTTATTTATATACACCAGGTTTGATGCAATTATCTTTCTTGTCCTCTCAAACAGAAATCCTGTAATCTTATACCTGCCCCCCTTTTTGTTTGAAACCCAACAAATGTTATATAGGTAGAACCACTCCTTCAGTTGCTCAAAAATTCCTCTCTGAATGTTTTGTTTTGTGTTCCTCATTTTTGCTGAATCATGCTTCTACAATTCTCAATAAATACTTGAGGAAAAGAGGATTCCCATATGCTTGAACAACAATTTAACATAAGCCCAAACTATTGACATAGCAAGTTTAACCATACTAATAAATGAAACTTCTGGAATGGATAACCCATAGGCTTTGCACTGTAGTGATCTCATAACTAAACTCACAAACTAGGACCAAGGATCAATACAAAATATATCAACGCTACGCCACATGTTCGGTTCACACACGCTACAGACGTACCCACACACGCAACAGACACGAATCCATTCTCTCAGAAACAGTTCAGCCTCAAAGATTATGTATTGCATATACTGTTTAAAACGATATGAGAGTAATTCTCTCAGTACTAATATCTCTGCACACAAAACCTTTATATGATCCCATCTTCATTTCTTTCACAACTTTGTAATGTCTCTTTCTGTAACTATTGCATATTTGCTTCCACCATAAATCTACTTCGTCTCCAATGAGTTCTAGTTTCAAAAAGAATGCTCATTCTTACTGTTCATATGTTAGGATATGAATATACCACTCCATTTTGTTATACTTATCTCTTTTGTAGCAATAGGACTGTAAGGCTTGTTACTAAACTTCTATTCTACCCATTAGTAAACTTGAAAAAAGTTTTCTTAATGAACAATGTTATTCAAGCTTTCAACATGTCCAAACTTCAACAAAAGTAGTTAGATCATTATATATTTAGAAAATTTTAATCCAAAGATTAACACTCTCCTCCACAACGAGCTAGCAAAAGAAACGGTGCACTGAACAAGTTTACTGCCAACAAAGGTCTTACAGAAACACAATGGTTCATCACTACCCATGTTCAGAAATCATTTATCAACAATCATAATGTCATCATAAGTTTGCATTCAACTGAAAAGGAATTCAAGATAAAATATCTACGGTATTCCAGCTGGACGAAAGTCTAATTTCCAAGGTCCCTCCATAATGCTAAAGTAACTCCACAAACATAAAACCCAAATCTAGAGACAAGAAAAGTAGCACACAACACAACAGTTTAGCTTCCCCTGAAAATCATATGTATTGGCATTTGGCTGCACCTTTATTCATATAATTCAAGCAAACAAATTGCACAATGAAGTTAAAAATAAATGGAAACCGGAAAGGAGCATATGGCTCAAGCTAAATTAGAAAAAACACAGCTCTTTTTATTTACTTATAATGAAAGTTGAGTGTTTCCACTACATAGATGATGTAACACAAGATGAGTACAAGTTCACTATTTGGCCAGATAATGAGTACACTTAAGCAACAAGTTCTCCCTCTATTAAGAACAACCAGTATATATCATAAGCATTGTTAAAATGAACAAAATTTTTATAACATAAAACCCATTACAAGAAAACACTAAAAAACGAAGAGATCTGTACATGTGAGGTTGAAGCAGAGCTAAGGAGATGCTAAACAGGTGGAATGTTGGAGAAAGAGAAGCCCTTGTAACCTTTATAAGCATAGTAAGCAATCCGCGTGTAATAGAAACCCGGAAGGAACAAGATCGCCCCAAGTATCGCAAAGAATAAGCCTGAAATCATCCAAAAAAAACCCCAAAATTAAGAAAAATTGAAAATGAAATTAAACAAGAGGGCTTTTAGGGTTAGTAAGGTAGAGGGTACCGTGAGCTTTGTCGCCGCCGACATGGTTGTAGGCCATGAGGCCGCCAATGACAATGCCGAGAGTGCCGGTGATGAGGAGAGCGAAGGCGAGAGCGATCTCTTTGATGGGAGGCTTGTTGTTGACTGTGTAAGAGTCCTCCATCATCATGTCTTCGTCTGTTATCGAAAACGCGTGATCCACATACGCCATGGCTGGTTCTCTGATTGGTTCGTTTTGTGCTCTGAAAACTGGATTTGGAATTTGGGTTTTCGGAATTTTGGGATTTGAATGTTAGCTGAGGTTCGAATTTGGTTTTGGGTTTGTCGGGAGCTTTTGATTCAAAGTTTGAATCTAAGGAGGAGTTTAGGGGAATGGTCAAAGCTTAAAAAGGACAAGGCGTCTGAGTCTGAGGAGGATTGAGGAAGAAGATATAATGCACACGGCGTTTTGTCTGCTGCTGCCACGTGTAACACGTACCAAGTCATCATCAGGTGTTACGTATTTTTTTACGTTATTATTTAAGTTCAGTCACATGACGTGTCATATGTTACATTAAATAATCTCGTGTCACATAAATACTTATCTTTACTTTTCTTCCTTGAAATCACAGATCCTTCGATGAAACACATGATGTGTACGTACATTATTTTTTGTTTATAATAAATGATTTCTAAGCACATAATATATTATTTATATCGGTTATAAATCATATCGGCCAATCATATTTCAACATAGAAACTAGTAACACAACCATGGTGGTGTGTGATAGTTGAAAATCAATGTAGCAGCACAGTAGAAAACTTGTACCTCTGCTAAAAAGCTACAACACTTGTCTTTATCGAAAAACTTGGACACCAAGAAGCCTAATTGATATAGAACAATCATAAGAAATCCAAAACTTAACACAATTGAGGCTCCAATCACCCCAAAAACTCATAAGTTAAGTTACCTCTGCCGATCTGCAAGAGGTAGGCTTCTGAGCTGACCAAAGAATTAAGATCGAACAAAAACTTGACTGGTGATGATTGTTCTTGCATTAACCGCAGCTGCCCTTTAGAAACTAAATCCCACCTTTAGGAGGGTTCCAAGGCAATTCGTCTTCTCTAACGGGACTACTTTCGCACTCCTCCTCTGATCCAATGCAGTAGAGCGTTGTATTTGCTGTCACAAGTTAATACATTTTGAAATTGAGTTTAAACTTAATGTCAATGGCACAGATTACTTATGTAATTAGAACACACAATTCTGCTCTACTCATCACATATCTGTTTAGCATTTCTTTAACCCAGTCAGTTTGGGAAAAAAAGAAAAGAAAGAGAATACCTCCATGAGCCGTTCCATTTCTCCTTCTCTTCCAGTCTACCCGAAGTACTAAAGCCATCTTCTTTACTCTGCAATTTTCTTAGATTAACAGCCATAACGCCATGCATTATCTAATTTCAATTTGCAATTCTTAGATTCAGTTTGCCACCACTGTCTATGATTACATTGCAAACTCTTGACTGACAGTATATCTTCTCTTGAATGTGTTTAGTTCTTGGTTTGCGGTGCACATCAGTCTCTCACAACTAGCAAAACATCTTCATCTCCATAACTCATTGCCATCTTGGGGAACTATTAGTAAATCCTTTTCACATCAGTTTCATGAGTCGCCAAGTTTACTTCATCTGGTGGAAACTGATTAGAACCGTGGCCTGATTGATTGCATCAGTAACATTTGGCTGATAGCAGAGGAGCATGAGGATTTGCAGGTACACACCTTGCGTTGTTGGTTCCCCCTGTTAAATTAGTTCGACCAGTCACTGACTTCTTACATGTATTTTGTGGTTGGTCTTTTCCTTTTGCTACTACTCTTTTATTGCCTAGACCAGAAGTGGGATGAGGACCCTTGCCAGAGACTTGTTATCTGGTATTCGGACCATCAACTCTTGTAGCAAATTAAACTGCAACATTAAGGGCATAGAGAGAAGAGGTTGTAATGCTTATTGTTGTATTGCCATTTACATTGTGCTGCATTAGTTGACGAAAATCTTCAAAAGCTGAACTAACTTACCATTTCTCACGACACAGTTCCATTTTTCTGTCAAATTAAGTTTTTGCTATACCTCGATCCAACTATATCCTGTATTTTTCAGTACACCTCTTTCTATCATTTCCCTCCTTATCTTTGTAGCATCTTCCCAACTACCCCCTTCAGAGTATACCTTTGACAGTAGTACATAAGGTACATCATTTTCTGGAACCAACTGAACCAACTTCTTAGCAGTCCATTCTCCCAACTCTATGTTCCCATGTATCCGACAACCACTAAGCAAGGACCTGAGTATAGCAGGCCAAGGAGCATAAGGCATTCCTTCAATCATTTGTCTAGCATCTTCGAGGTATCCGCTTCGTGAAAGCATATCAACCATGCAACCATAAATATCCTCAGATATTGGTTCCAGCTTAGAATCTGAGTTCATTGATTCAAACAACAAACGACCTAGATCAACCTGACCCACATGAGCACAAGCTGCTATAACTGACGCATATGTGGCCTGGCTGGGCTTTATATGAGCCAACTTCATTTTCTCAAAGATACCCATAGCTTCCTTGTCCAGACCATGATGAGCACAAGCCATGATCATGGCATTATATATAACTACATCACCAGATCTAAATGACTGGCTAAAGGTCATCCTTGCACTTCCAATGTCCCCACATTTTGCATAAGCATCTATAACTGCACTCACAACAAATACTTGTGAGTGAAATCCCATTTTGATGGCAACAGAATGAACAGATTTAGTTAAATGATAGCCTGCATTATCAGCACAACTATTTAGAATGCTGCCCAAAATAAACTCATCAGGTTTCCCACCAGCTTCTCTCAGAGACTTGAGAAATTTGATAGCTTCAAAGAGATGTCCCTGATGCACTAGAGCAGATATCATAGTCCCCCAAGATTCCACATCTAATGTCTCAAACCCATTGAAAAACTCAAAGGAATCATCCAGTAGTCCAACTTTAACATAGCACTTAATTAAGAAGCTACAAACATATCCATGGAAAGAGAAGCCACACTTGACAATAGCACCATGAATTTGTCTAATCATTTCTTGGTGTTCATCTTTATAGCAAGTTTCCAATATGCTGGAGAAGGTAACTTCACTCGCTTCAACACCCAAGTCCCATAAATCACAAAAAATCTTCCTGGCTTCTGTATAACAATGATTTGAATTATACCCAGAAATCAACTCGTTCCAAGAAGTTAAGTTTTTGTCAAGTAGGCTGTCAAAAAACAAGCGTGCCATGTCCATAGCCCCACATCTAGAAAACATATTGATTATTGAGCTTCTAACATTAGCTTCATTCCAGAATCCAAATTGTAATGCAAGAGAGTAAAACTGAAGCCCAAGGTTCAGATCAAGTAGATCCCCACATTGTCTAAACAAGATTGAGAAAGTGACATGGTTAGGTTTCATGTTTTCTAGCATGAACTCATGGACTAACTTTGCAATTTCTCTTGTATTCTTGTCTTCAGAGAAGACACCAAATGCGGTGTTCCACGATATAACATCTTTTGCTTGTATCCTATTGAAAACATTCAAAGCCGTATCCTTCTTACCATTTCTAGAGTACATATCAGAAAGAGCATTCATTACTGAAATACTAAATTCCATCTCACTCTGGATGATCAATCCATGAAGTTGCTTCCCAAAATCCAAATTTCCCATAACAGAGCACCCCTTAAGAGTATTAACAAAGGTGAACTGGTCCATGCTTATCCCTCTCCATACCATCAAAGATACAACCTTCAAGGCTTCGAGGCCATAGCCGCATTGCGCATACCCTCCAATCATAGTATTCCAACCAGCAGTATCAAGACTGGACATAGACGCAAACACCCCTTTAGCCGATTCAATATCCTCCAACTTAGCATACATGTTCAAAATAGAACCGCCCACATAGCAGTTCTGTTCAATCCCAACTTTCAAAGCAAAACAATGAACACTCATGCCAAATTCATATGCTTTGGTACTAGCACACTCTGCACACCCCTTGAGAACACTGCCAATAGTGAATTCATTCGGCCTCAACCCACTTCTTATTAATCCCAAATAAATCTCCAAGCCCCATTCAAATTGACCATCTTGGACGGCAGCCGAGATCATCAAAGTCCAAGTGACAAGGTTTCTGTCAGGCATTTTATCAAACACCCTAAATCCATCACCCACAAGCCCACATTTTGAGTACATTTTGATCAAATTATTCAACAAAAAAATGTCATCAGTAAACCCCAACTTGATGATATGGGAATGGATTTGGGTACCAAGGAAACACGACTTTGAAGTCTCAGAGAGGGAAAGAGCAGCGACAATGGAAGTTGGGTCTTTACCCACCAAGAGATTAGAGCATGAAGAGCAGGATTTGGAAGTGTAGAGTTGGAGTTGGTCTTTGGAGATTGCATGGAAGGCTCTGGGTTTGGTTGTTGAAAGAATAAAGCCTCTAAGCCTTGAAGTAAGAGTAAGTCCTACACCACCTAAGCTTCTCATTCTTCATGATAGACCTTGGCTGGTGAAAAAGAAAAGCTTCAAAGTGGATCCCATAACGATTGGCCATTGGCACATTGCATTGCAGGCTGCAGATTTTGAGTAGCAGCCTCTGGGTTTAGGGTACGATCGATAGTTTGATCGCTCAGAATATACTTTTTTTTCTTCATGAGAATCTGATTTCTGTTGTTTTGATGGTAAAACAGTGTTTAATATTGTGGTTTTTCCCCTGTCACCATTTAGCTCATAAATTAATTTATTATGTCAATATGTGCAAAATCAAATTTGGTTGGAAAACACAAATTTGACTATAAGATCTGTAAATTGTTATAAACAAACAGAAATTAGGTTAAAAACTTTTGGTTGGGACATTGTCCTCGGGGGTTCACTCTCCACTAATAGAGAAAAACACTTTAGCTGGACGGGTCCTTTTTGCTGATGTGGCGAGAGCCAAGGTAGGAGTGGGACTGGTAGTGTGAGAGCATTTCCAACCGGGGGGGGAAGGGGGACTCAAAATGGGGTTTCCAGCAACAAAGATCTGCCATGGCAAGGAGTGGGGCCCAGCAATCTGGGCTGGCTCGAGGGCAAAATGACGTCAGCGCATTGACGTCACGACGACGTCAGCGCTGGAGTTAAAAAAAATTTGACGCGCCCGCTACAGTGCCCCCCAACGGCTGTCTTCCACGTGGCGCAATTCTAGGCTATCCGATCCATTTTTCCAGACATCCAACGGAGCCATTTTTTCCCGAATAAAAAATCGAAATTGCACCCCCCCCTCCCCAACGGCTCTCTTCCACGTGGCTCCTTCTGGGCTCTCCGATCTCCTTTTTTTCCAGCAATCCAACGGCAGCTAATTTTTTGCCCAATAAAAAAATAAAAAAAAATCGGAAAAAATTTTAAAAAATACCCAAAAAATACTGAATTTTTTTTCTATAAATACCAACCAATACTCTTCACTTTTAACACCAACTCCTCATACATTTTCTTATCATTCTACTATTATTCACTTTCTACTCAATATTTTTTCACTTTCAAGTTGTTTTTTTCTCTATCATATTATGGGTTCTTCAAGTGAAACCGGAGGAGGGGCATGGAGCATGATGGAAGATGTTAGCTTCTGTGAGGCTTGGCTCCAAGTTAGTCATTGTCCCGTAACGGGCAATGAAATCAAATTCTGTCATATGTGGAAAAAAATTCATCAGGAATTTTGTGAAAGGGTAATTGGTTCGACCCGTACGGATCAGGCATTATGAATAGTATTGACACGTAGGAACCCAAAAATCTTATCCGAAAATATTATCCACATTAATTGTTTAAGTAAACAAAGTTGTGAAAAAAACAAAAAAATGAATAGTATTTGCTATGGCAAGCCTTGCATTGCTGGAACCACACTTTTTTGGAGGGGGGGCTAGGGTAGTCACTATTCACATAAATAGTAGTTGCCCTAGGGCTCCCCTTGCCATGGCAAGGGGCTAACTGGTGGAAATGCTCTAAGGTGTCCCAAATTGGACAAGGTCTTGGGTGAGGTGGTTCAACTATATCATCAGTCTGGTCGCCCTCACAAAAATGCAACGCTTCTTTGTGGGAGGACTCTGACGGGTGATGACGGTCTCACTCAAAACTTTCCACTAGACTTCACTATTTAGCTAGAATAAAAGAGTAGGAGCCAGTGTAGTAGTAATTGTGTCATATAGAAGCATGCATGAGATGAAAGAGTTGTTTACAAAGAGCCCTAATTACAAGCTACAAAATACAAGATAAGTCTACCACATGAGAAACTGATCACCATGATCAGCTTACACATATAAGATGGACCAAGAGTTGGTAGAGGAAGTATCGTTTATAATTTTCAATGGAAAGTTTGAATCTCACCAACGTCAAATAATTGTTTAACCCAAAAAAGAAAAGAAGGAAAAGGACTAAAGTAGCTTCAACCTTTGGGACTCTGTGTGACTGTGCATGTCTTATGTTCCTTCCTTAATAGCAAAGACCTCTTCAGTCGTTGGTTCGTCAACAACACTCACTCATCAAGGCAGGCAGGTGACTCTGGTGAGTGCCTTTTTTTTATTCTTTTTCTTTTTCTGTTTGTATGTTTACTTTTTCATGTTGGCTTTACATTTCTTCAGCTTCAGCTTCCTCTTTTCAATTCATTTGTATGTAACATTGTAACTCAGATGATCTTTGTCTTGGTATCTCAACTGGTTGCTTGACTTGTGTGTTTTGATCACAGAAAGAGGGACAGCATGTCAATTTTTCTTGAAATTTTGAAATACCTCTTTTCCGATAGAAACCGCTCGCCACCCTTGACTTCTACTAATCAATCTCCAGCCTTCTATAACTATAAAGCCCCATCACCTCCATCTCAACCAGTCAAATCTCCCTTTAGTTCATCTTCATCATCCCCTAAGCCTCCGACATCTTCATCGAAACCGCTGCAATCTTCTTATATCAGTACATCTTCTCCATTTCCTAAATTCCCAACATATTCTTCTTCTTCAACATTCCCAAAGCCCCCAACATCTTCATCTAAGCTGCCTCAATCAACTTTTGTTAATCCATCTTCTTCCAATGCATCTCCATTTATTCTTGAATTCCCAACATCTATATCTAAATTACAACAATCTTCTTCTGTTGATCAGCGTTCAGCATTGCCTAAACCCCCAACATCTTCATCTAAGCTGCCCCAATCCACTCTTATTAGTCCATCTTCACCATCCCTTCAACTCCAAACACCTTCATCTAGACCATCTCCTCCGAAACTGTCTTCATCTCCTAAATTCCCAACATATTCTTCTTCTTCAACATTCCCTAAGCCCCCAAAATCTTCATCTAAGCTGCCTCAATCAACTTTTGTTAATCCATCTTCTTCCAATGCATCTCCATTTATTCTTGAATTCCCAACATCTGTATCTAAATTACAACAATCTTCTTCTGTTGTTCAGCGTTCAGCATTGCCCAAACCCCCAACATCTTCATCTAAGCTGCCCCAATCCACTCTTATTAGTCCATCTTCACCATGCCTTCAACTCCAAACACCTTCATCTAGACCATCTCCTCAGAAACGGTCTACATCCTCCTCTAAACCACCTCAGGCTTCATCAAAATCACATTCATCATCACCAAATCCTCCAACATCTTCAAAACCATCTCCATCCTCGGGACCGCCAGCGTCTTCCACTACACTCCCTCCAATCTTTAAGCAAGTTCTATCCCCAGCCTCCACAGATGTAATAACTGAAAAGGGGAAGAAAAATTATGTATCGGTGGTTGAAAAGGGTTCATTACCTATATTCACGATTCCTGAGGATTTCAAAGATTTGATCAAGAATGACATTGTGCCTAAAGTTCTTAAACAGCCTCTGTCTTCCACGACATATAAGGATTACTTTGCTGCTCTGTTATACGCTGAAGAGTTCTACCATGAGGTATGCAAGAATCTTGCCCATTTGTAATGCATTTTCTTCAGTAGTTAGTTAAGAAAATTATGACAGATATCAAACCATTTATATAAATATGTTTGTAAAGCACTTCTCAAAGTTTCAATTTTCGGAAGATTTGACGAAAATATGTGATTTCAATGTTGATTATATAGCACAATTTTGAATGATTAGCAAAACATAGCTTATTTCATATTAGTAATCATTTTTCTCTGTACAAAGATTTGAATGGTTAATTATACTTGATACTTCTTTGTTTGCATTGGTGACTGGCTATTGTTTTAAAATGATTTGAGTTTCATGTACATGCCTTTGCAACTAAATTTTGATGCCAAAAGACAAATCTAAATACTGATCCAAAAGACAAAAAGAATGTCTTAAGAGCTGTGGTATGAACGATGGAATGTAGAATGCTGTGGTACAACATTCTTCTTTTCCAAATTTTGTATGATTATTCATGCTTACTTTGAAAGAAATAAAAAAAAACCTTTGTTGTTATTTGAACCAGAAATGGGCTGATTTCAATATGAAGAATGTGACACTGAAGTTGCAAAAAGCAGCAGTTTACAAAAATCTAGACAAGGAAGAGAAAACCTTCGTAGAATTTATGATTGATTCTGTTCCTGAAAATCGGCCATTCCTTTGGTCGAGGGACTTAGTCTATGTACGGCCATCAGGTACAAATGCTGAGCAGTTTCAGGTAAACTCTGAACATCCATCAACATATGGCAATTTCTTAAAACTATCCGCATTATAATTATCTTATTACATGTTATGCAGGGCATTATAAATCGCATTATTAGGAGCAATCTTGTATTAGTGGAATTTGAAGATGAATTTTATGATTATCATGATTCGACCCAAAAATATGATGTCAGCTTCTCATTCAATAGAGTATGTTTGAAAAGAGCTCACCAAGCAGTTCAAACAGCATCGGATACTTTGTTTAAGAACTTCCTCTTTCCTGATGGTGTTTCCCGTACTAGCATTCCCACCGCACCAGCGCTGCTGTCTGGCCGTCACAAACTTGACGCCAAACAATTATCTGCTGTTCGTCAAATTTTAAGCATTCAGGGCTCACCACCTTACTTGGTGGCTGGCCAGCTTTGTGTTGAAAGGAACGTTTTTAGGCCGTCGAGAACTGGAGCGGTTGTTTGTGAAGCAGTGCACCAGTTATGTCAAACCTCACTCAAAAATAGGATTCTGATATGTGCTCCTAGTAACTGCTGTTGTGATGGGATTATGAGAAGCTTGTTGGAAGTGATTCCAGAGTCAGATATGTTTCGAGCCAACGCTGCATTCCGTGAGAAAGATGAGGTGCCTGATGACATCCTCCCATCATGCCTTTACGAAGACCCTTGTTTCTCTTGTCCTCCAACTGAGAAGCTTAAAAAATTCAGGGTGATTTTCTCGACTCTCATGAGTAGCTTTCGGCTGCATGATAAAGGCCTAACTTCAGGACATTTTAGTCATATTTTTCTGGTGGATGCTTCATCTGCCACTGAGCCGGAAACAGCAGTGGCCTTAACTAATTTTGCAGAAAAAAGTACTACTGTTATAGTCACTGGTCAACCAGGAGATAATAAACGTTGGGTTCGCGCAGACATGGCAAGGCGAAAGGGACTGAAGATTTCTTACTTCGAGAGACTTTTCAAGTCAAGGCCATATAGAAGCCTCAATCCAATGCTTATCACACAATTGGACCAGTAGCAAGAGCCACACTCAGCAACACCTACAGGCTTTTGCATTAAGCTTAAAACCCTTTGCATAATTGCACGAAACATTTGACTGTTTGCTGTTTAAATTTCTTGGTTCATAAGCCACAACCTAAAGATATTAGGGTGACTGTTTTGTTGTAAGTAGCCTTCTGCAAAGTGTGGTGATTGTTTTTTTTTGTGACAGTTTTCTTGACAAATTATTAATTGCCCTCCTAGGCTACCTTACCTCAACCTCCTGCATGTTCAGATCCTCTTCTATCTGAATCAATTTTGTTTCTTAACACATTAGAACCATGACCAGATTGATTACATCAGTAACATTTGGCTGATAACAGAGGAGCATAAGGATTTTCAGGTGCAAACTTTGCGTTGTTGGTTCCTCCTGTTAACTTAGTTCGACCAGTCCCCAACTTCTTACATGTACTTGTTGGTTGGTCATTTGCTTTTGCTACTGCTCTTTTAGTGCTTAGACCTGAAGTGGGAAGAGGACCATCAAGTTCTGCTTCATCACTCGTTGCCAAGAACTGCAATATAAAGGACAAAACGAGGTTGCAAAACAACTAATGATATATATCCTTACTCCTTCCTACAGACCATACTAATTGTTCTGTGCCATTTACATTTTGCTGCATTAGTCGACTAAAATCTTCAAAATGTGAACAAACTTACCATTTTTCATGGCCCGGTTCCACATTTCTGTCCAATTGGTTTCTCACCATACCTCGATCCAACTATATCCAGTATTTTTTGGCACACCTCCTTCTATCATTTCCCTCCTTATGTTTGTAGCATCTTCCCAACTACCTCCTTCAGAGTAAACCTTTGACAATAGTACATAAGATACATCATTTTCTGGAACTAAATTCTTTGCAGTCCATTCTCCCAACTCTATGTTCCCACGTATCCGACAATCACTAAGCAAGGACCTCAATATAGCAGGCCAAGGAGTATAAGGCATTCCTTCAAGGCTTCAAGGCCTCAAGGCTCCAAGGCCTCAAGGCTCCAAGGCCACAGCCGCATTGAGCATACCCTCCAATCATAGTATTCTAACCAGCAGTATCAAGATTTAACATAGATTCAATCACCCCTTTAGCCGATTCAATATCCTCCAGCTACATGTTCAAAATAGAACCACCCATATAGAAATTCTGTTCAATACCAACTTTCAAAGCAAAACAATGAACACTCGTGCCAAATTCATATGCTTTGGTATGGTACTATCACTCGGCACACCCCTTGAGAACACTGACAACAGTGAATTCATTCGGCCTCAACCCACTTCTTATTAATCCCAAATTAATTTCCAATCCCCATTCAAATTGACCATCTTGGACAGCAGCCGAGATCATCAAAGTCCAAGTGACAAGGTTTCTGTCAGGCATTTCATGAAACACTCTAAACCCATCACCCACAAGCCCACATTTTGAGTACATTTTGATCGAATTATTCAATAAAAAAAATGTCACCGGTAAATATCAACTTGATAATGCACTAGAGCAGATATCATAGTCCCCCATGATTCCACATCTAAGGTCTCAAACCCATTGAAAAACTCAAAGGAATCATCCAGTAGTCCAAATTTAACATAGCACTTAATTAAGAAGCTACAAACATATCCATGGAAAGAGAAGCCACACTTGACAATAGCGCCATGAATTTGTCTAATCATTTCTTGGTGTTCATCTTTATAGCAAGTTTCCAATATGCTGGAGAAGGTAACTTCACTCGCTTCAACACCCAAGTCTCATAAATCACAAAAATCTTCCTGGCTTCTGTATAACAATGATTTGAATTATACCCAGAAATCAACTCGTTCCAAGAAGTTAAGTTCTTGTCAAGTAGGCTGTCAAAAAACAAGCGTGCCATGTCCATAGCCCCACATCTAGAAAACAAGTTGATTATTGAGCTTCTAACATTAGCTTCATTCCAGAATCCAAATTGTAATGCAAGAGAGTAAAACTGAAGCCCAAGGTTCAGATCAAGTAGCTCCCCACATTGTCTAAACAAGATTGAGAAAGTGACATGGTTAGGTTTCATGTTTTCTAGCATGAACTCATGGACTAACTTTGCAATTTCTCTTGTATTCTTGTCTTCAGAGAAGACACCAAATGCGGTGTTCCACGATATAACATCTTTTGCTTGTATCCTATTGAAAACTTTCAAAGCCGCATCCTTCTTATCATTTCTAGTGTACATATCAGAAAGAGCATTCATTACTGAAGTACTAAATTCCACCTCACTCTGGATGATCAATCCATGAAGTTGCTTCCCAAAATCCAAATTTCCCGTAACAGAGCACCCCGTAAGAGCATTAACAAAGGTGAACTGGTCCCTGCTTATCCCCCTCCATACCATCAAAGATACAACCTTCAAGGCTTCGAGGCCATAGCAGCATTGCGCATACCCTCCAATCATAGTATTCCAACCAGCAGTATCAAGACTGGACATAGACGCAAACACCCCTTTAGCCGATTCAATATCCTCCAACTTAGCATACATGTTCAAAATAGAACCACCCACATAGCAATTCTGTTCAATCCCAACTTTCCAAGCAAAACAATGAACACTCATGCCAAATTCATATGCTTTGGTACTAGCACACCCCTTGAGAATACTGCCAATAGTGAATTCATTCGGACTTAACCCACTTCTTATTAATCCCAAACAAATCTCCAAGCCCCATTCACATTGACCATCTTGGACGGCAGCCGAGATCATCAAAGTCCGAGTGACAAGGTTTCTGTCAGGCATTTTATCAAACACCCTAAATCCATCACCCACAAGCCCACATTTGAGTACATTCTGATCAAATTATTCAACAACAAAAAATGTCATCAGTAAATCCCAACTTGATGATATGGGAATGGATTTGGGTACCAAGGAAACATGACTTTGAAGTCTCAGAGAGGGAAAGAGCAGCGACAATGGAAGTTGGGTATTTACCCACCAAGAGATTAGAGAATGAAGGGCAGGATTTGGAAGTGTAGAGTTGGAGTTGGTCTTTGGAGATTGTATGGAAGGCTCTGGGTTTGGTTGTTGAAAGAATAAAGCCTCTAAGCCTTGAAGTAAGAGTAAGTCCTACACCACCTAAAGCCATCTCCGGCCATGGGCTATATCCGAAATATAGCCCTAAAATAATGCAAAACCCATATCTAGTCATAGGCTAAATAAAATTTTGGCCAAATTTGGCGGGTTACATTTGACCCTTTAGCCCTCTAATCGGGCCAAATGTAGCCCAGCTTTGGTCTAGGCCAAATTCATAGTGGGCCTCACCATGTGCTTTTCAACCACCAAACATTAAAGCATTCATCACTTCCCTTTCTCAAAATGATAAAATATGAATGACCCTAAAATATAGCCATGCATGGCTGGAGATAGAAAAATTTAGCCATGCACTATTCTTTAAAAAATTAATATTTTGGGGGGCTAAATTTGTAGCCCTGGACTACATTAATAGTGCAGGGCTAAATTTTTCCATCTTCAGCCATGCATAGCTATATTTTTAGGGCCCCTTCATATTTTATTATTTTAAGAAAAACTATGGTAAAACACTCATGTATTTCACAACTATGTATTATTTAATTTAATTAAACTACGATTTAGAGACAATATTTTTTAAACCAAATGAATTTAAAACATTTTAAAAAGTTTTAAATAAATAAATAAATAATAATTTTTCAATCAATGGTTCAGACCTCCAATGATCAGAAACTAAATATATATATATATATATATTAAAACAAAACGAATTTAAAAACATTTTAAAAGGTTATTAAAAATAAAAATAAAACCTAACAGCTAGCTGACATCATCGATGATGTCAACGCGCCTTTAATATTGGCTGTTGGATTTGCAGTTGCACGAGATGTTTCGTGCTCTTGCCCACACGTGATACTTTCTCCTCTTGGAAAGCATATGCGCTGGCCCACAAAAAAATTTGGTCTAGGCCAAAGCTGGACTACATTTGGCTAGTTTGAGGGCTAAAGGGCCAAATGTGGCCCTCCAAATTTGGCCCAAAAAAATTTAGCCCACGGTTTGCATTATTTTAGGGCTAAAACCCATCTCCAGCCGTGGGCTAAAAATAATTTTGGCCAAACTTAGCTCTTTAGCCCTTCAACTAAGCCAAATGTAGCATAGCTTTTGCCTAGGCCAAATTTTTTTTAAGCCCAGCGCATATGCTTTCCAAGAGGAGAAAGTATCACGAGTGGGCAAGAGCACGAAACATCTCGTGTAACTGCAGATCCAACAGCCAATATTAAAGGCGCGTTGACATCATCAATGACGTCAGCTAATAGTTAAGTTTTTATTTTTATTTTTAATAACCTTTTTAAATGTTTTTAAATTCTTTTTGTTTTTAAATATATAATTTATTTTTGATTGTTGGAGGTCAGAACCATTGATTAAAATGTTATTATTTATTTATTTATTTAAACCCTTTTAAAATGTTTTAAATTCATTTTGTTTTAAAAATATATATAAATTAAAAAATATTGTCTCTAAATCGTAGTTTAATTAAATTAAACAATATATAATTGTGAAATATATGAGTGTTATACCATAGTTTTTCTCAAACTAATAAAATATGAATGACCCTAAAATATAGCCATGTATGGCTGGAAATGGAAAAATTTAGCTTTACACTATTCTTTAAAAAATTAATATTTTGGAGGGCTAAATTTTTAGCTCTTGACTACATTTAGCCCTATGATTGGAGATGGCCTAAGCTTCTCATTCTTCATGATAGACCTTGGCTGGTGAAAAAGAAAAGCTTCAAAGTGAATCCCATAACGATTGGCCATTGGCCCATTGCATTGCAGGCTGTAGATTTTGAGTAGCAGCCTCTGGGTTTAGGGTATGATCAATTGTTTGATCGCTCAGAATATACTTTTTTTTCTTCATGAGAATCTGATTTCCACAGTGTTTAATATTTTGGTTTTTTTCCCGTCACCATTTAGCTCATAAATTAATTTATTGTGTCAAATACGTGCAAAATCAAATTTAGTTAGAAAACACAAATTTGACTATAAGATCTGTAAATTGTTATAAACAAACAGAAATTAGGTTAGAACTCGATTTGGGAGGGGGTGAGATTCACTCTCGACAAATAGAGGAAAACACTTTAGCTGGGTGGGTCCCTTTTGCTGATGTGGCGAGAGCCAAGGTAGGAGTGGGACCGGTAGTGTAATTTGGTGTCCTAAATTGGACAAGGTCTTGGGTGAGATGGTTGAACCATGTCGCCCGTCTGGTCACCCTCACAAAAATGCAACCCTTCTTTGTTGGAGTACTCGGACGGGTGATGACGGTTTCACTCAAGACTTTCCGCTAGACTTCCCTATTTAGCTAGAATAAAATAGTAGAAGCCAGTGTAGTAGTAATTGTGTCACATATAAATTATAATAATGCATGAGATGAAAGAGTTGTTTACAAAGAGCCCTAATTACAAGCTACAAAATACAAGACAAGTCTACCACATGAGAAACTGTTCACCATGATCAGCTTACACATATAAGATGGACCAAGAGTTGGTAGAGGAAGTATCGTTTATAATTTTCAATGGAAAGTTTAAATCTCACCAATGTCAAATAATTGTTTGACCCAAAAATAAAAAAAAGGAAAAGGAAAAAGGAAAAGGAATAAAGTAGTTTCAACCTTTGGGACTCTGCGTGACTGTGCATGTACTATGTTCCTTCCTTAATAGCAAAGACCTCTTCAGTCGTTGGTTCGTCAACAACACTCACTCATTAAGGCAGGCAGGTGACTCTGGTGAGTGCTTTTTTTTTATTCTTTTTTTTTCTGTTTGAATGTTTCCTTTTTCATGTTGGCTTTTCATTTCTTCAGCTTCAGCTTCCTCTTTTCAATTCATTTGTATGTAACATTCTAACTTAGATGATCTTTGTCTTTGGTATCTCAACAGGTTGCTTGACTTGTGTGTTTGATCACAGAAAGAGGGACACCATG